TACAGTACATAGTAACGAGCCGCCCATAGCCTGTCAATGTCATTCCTCCTCCTCACAGCAGCACACATTACTACAGCCCGCATGGCGTGTTCCAGCTCCTGGGCCGGATGTTCATCCCCGGAAGTGACGTAAACAAGCATGGCGGCGCCCTGCTCTCTGGAATATATTCCCGGTTGATGTGTACGGGAAGGCGGTCAGTATAGGGGACGGGACTAGGCGGCGTATTGTGTGTTTTTCGGGAGTACGGGGTGTATGTGCTGCCTGCAGGGGAATCCATCCTGTGAGGGAAAGTGACTGAAGTGTTGGTGGTGCCCATGGTGACAAGTGACCTTATCAGCTCTCACTATGTACTGTGAATTATTTTATTGGTCGCTAATAGCAACCTATATGATCCCTTTACTTCACAGGGTGTAGAAACTTTCCTAAATAGGGAACACCTATCCATTTTCTATGTATAAAGAGGCCCTGTCATCATATGCCACCCTGACAACTAAATGCAGACTGGAAGCCAGTTACTTCTCTGCTGAAGATGAGATATTGGCACTCTTAGCCCTGATTCACACTGATGTGATGCGGGAAACGCAGCGAATCCTGCAAGGCATTGCGATCGCACAGTAGCCATGCAATCTGCTGCGGGTGCCAATATGACATTAACAACACTCCAAAACAGAATGCAAAATGCAGGGCGATTGCCAGAATCAAATTGCATGAATGTGAACGCCCATGCAATGCGATTTAGGTGCAGAAAGAAAGGGTCCTGCACCATTTTGGTGTGAATGTAATACAGAATGTATGGCTCAAATTGCATCGTACAGACATCACGTGATGCGCGTAGGAATGCGGTGCAATTCCTGTGCAAATCAGATGTGTCTGGCAATGCACAAGTGTAGTCCCATCCTACGTTCGATGACCTGCATCGATCCGCGTAGATCAGCACAAGGGCACATAGAAAACCTCTGTTTTGTGTGTGTCCGCTTTACACCACACATGTGAGGTGGTGCGCATGTCACCACAGTGCATAGAGTTGAAGTGTCATTTTGTGAGGGTTCCAAGAAAGTAAAAAAGAAAGTGGTGAGATGCATTGTTCGCAATACAACACACTGCCCATACACAATGTACACTAATGTGCATGTATTATGGCGAGAACGCATGCGTGAACAAGACCTAATTCTGATAAAGGGCCAGTTCACACCATGCTCGCACTGTGCGTTTCTGTGCAATATAATTTCAGTCTGTTCATTTTGAATGGTCTAAAATCGCACCGCACCAAAAGTACTTTTTAAAACGCACTGCAACTGGATCGCATGGCAAATAAACTGTGTTTGTGACCTGTGTTTAGGGTGTTATCAGCGCTCTATTGACGCCCGCTGCAGATTGCAAATGGAGTGCATTTTGCATACAATCTGAATCACACAGGAACATACAACATATTCCTGTGCAATTCATATCCATGCACACTGTGATCCGGCCCTTAGAATGTCTGATCCACAGATGTTTGGTCTGTTACCCTCCACCCTCCTTTTTCATTTGTCCTGCTATCTATTAAAAGATCAGTTTCGGCAGGGTTTGAAAATTTTGCTTCTAATCTAGGAGCCAGCTAGGGTAGAGTGGATTGTCAGCTCCCGGGGGCAAGGCAACTTTTGGCTGACAAGCTTCACATTTGCCGTAAGGCAATCATGGCAAAACTGCACCTTGTTTTAGGCACTATTGAAAATAATGGCACCTGAACCTGCGTTTTACGATCACAGTGCCACGATCCCAAAATGCCCAAGTGTGAATGGAGCCGATCTGGTTCACTCGTATGCGATTATGGATGTGTTTTCAAACTCACAGATTTGCATGACAGGCTAGATACTGTGTGTTCCTATTGAGGTGGTTCACACAGATGCAATCCACATGCATTTGTTTTGAGCGCTATTAAAAAAAGGATCCTATGCGCATTTTTAGCAGTGCGTTTCAGACTTGCAAGTGACATGTAGAGATGCAATATATTGCCAAAAGTATTGGCACACCCCTCCAAATCATTGGACTCAGGTGTTCCAATCACCTCCATGGCCACAGGTGTATAAAATCAAGCTCCTAGGCATGCAGACTGCTTCTTCAAACATTTGGGGAAAAATGGGTCGCTCTCAGGAGCTCAGTGAATTCAAGCGTTCTACCATGATAGGTTTCCACCTGTACAATAAGTCCATCTGTGAAATTTCCTTGCTACTAAATATTCCATGGTCAACTGTTAGTGGTATTATAACAAAGTGGAAGCAACTGGGAATAACAGTAACTCAGCCACAAAGTGGTAGGCCACGTAAAATGACAGAGTGTGCTGAAGCTCACAGTGCGCAGAAGTCACCAACTGACTTCAGAGTCAATAGCTAAAGATCTCCAAACTTTGCATGGCCTTCAGATTAGCACAACAATGTGTAGAGAGCTTCACGGAATGGGTTTCCATGGCCGAGCAGCTGCATCCAAGCCTTACGTCACCAAGTGCAATGCAAAGTGTCAGATGCAGTGCTCTAAAGCATGCCGCCACTGGACTCTAGGGCAGCGGAGACGTGTTCTCTGGAGTGACGAATCACACTTCTCTGTCTGGCAATCCATTGGACATGTCTGGGTTTGGAGAACGGTACTTGCGTGACTGTATTGTGCCAAGTGTAAAGTTTTGTGGAGGGGGGATATGGTTTGGGGATGTTTTTCAGGGGTTGGGCTTGACCCCTTAGTTTCAGTGAAGGGAACTCTTAAGGCATCAGCATACCAAGACATTTTGGACAATTTCATGCTCCTAACTTTGTGGGAACAGTTTGGGGATGACCCCTTCCAGTTCCAACATGACTGCGCACCATTGTACAAAGCAAGGTCCATAAAGACATGGATGAGCAAGTTGGGGTGGAGGAACTTGACTGGTCTGCACAGAGTCCTGACCTCAACCCGATAGAACACCTTTGGGATGAATTAGAGTGGAGACTGCGAGCCAGGCCTTCTCCTCCGACATCAGTACCTGACTTCACAAATGCGCTTCTGGAAGAATGGTCAAACATTCCCATAGACACACTCCTAAACCTTGTGGACAGCCTTCCCAGAAGAGATGAAGCTGTTATAGCTGCAAAAACGTGCTCCAACTCCATATTGCACCCTACGGACTAAGACTGGGATGCCATTAAAGTTCATGTGCGTGTTAAGGCAAGCGTCCCAATGCTTTTGGCAATATATTGTAAGTGTTCACATAGGATTGCTATTGACAGAAGTTTTTGCATTGAATTCAGTGGGAGGCGATTTTGCACTGAAGTTGAAAGGGGGCATTTTTGCATTCAAGTCAATGAGATGCTATTTTGCGTTGACATCAATGGGATACAATTTTGCATTTGAAGTCAGTAGGGGATTATTTTGCATTGAAGTCAATGGGAGACGTTTGCATTGAAGTCTATGAGACGCGATTTTGCACTGAAATCAATGGGAGGCAGTGTGTGAACCCATGTGTCAGGACGCAATTTTTAGTCACCATGGCGACCTGGGATTTATCGAGCCCTGAGTTTCAGTATATAGTTGTGTTCAGATACATCACTATGCTTCTCCCAGCATAATCTAAAGTTTGCAGCTCTAATAAATGTAATTTCTTTAGTACAGTTCTTGGTTCTACATCTAAAACAAGGAGATTTCTCCCCACTCGTTCCTCTTTTAAAAATTGCCTGCAAACGTAGCTGAACATTTGATATAAAGTGCAAATCAGCATAATTTTTAGACTAAGGGAGGCAGGAATGGGGGAGGGGGTGTCGGAGGTATGGGTTGGGGGTTGTAAAATCAGGAGGTTGGCTCACATTTTGTTGTAGGTTGGTTAGACACAAGGGAGGCAAGGATGGGGGAGGGGGTGTCGGAGGTATGGGTTGGGGGTTGTAATATCAGGACATTGGTTCACATTTTGACTGCCCATCTACAGTGTGACATGGGGCCACTGTACATTGCTGTGGCGCTTCACTTCAAGGTAAGGCAGTTGTAACTCAGCATGTGGAGTTTCCAAGTGGTACTGCTTGCCAAACTCACCCATTGAAGTCAATAAATCCTGTTGTACACAATGAGAAAATCAGGTGAAAAATTCCGCTTTCAGAGCGTTCATCTGATGATCTGATTGTTAGTACTCAGCTTTCAAGAGCCGGTCACGACAGTTAGTGCGAAATTATCCAAAGGGACAAACACAAAAAATGTTCTAATATGATAACAGAACAAATGATTTTCGTTTAATAAGTACAGTATTCTTCTGAGAAAAATCGAGTGACCAAGACCGCCTACCAGCACATTATGCTCTTACCTTGCAGGGAGAAGATGATCTTGTTTTATTCTTTTGTGGATTACTACCACTTTAATAGCCCTGAGTCTTCTGTGAAGCTTCAGTGAAGAAGCTCCTGATGGGGACCCGCCCCCTCTTCCTCTTTCATTGATTATGCTGCATGTATAACGGTCTGTGAATGAGGGAGAGAGTTCCATGACTGATCAGACTCTGCCTTGTTCATAGATTGTGTTACATGCAGTGTACATTTTGAAACAATTTTTTTACAGTGGAGGAAAGGGCAAGTCCCCATCTAGAGCTTCTTCACTGTACCTTCACAGGCATTTTTCTTTAGCTAAACTTCAGACTTAAAAAGTGTTACCAGGAGTTTGGCTTTAATTCATTAATCAAATCCATCTAAATATGTTAGTACATCTAACACTAACCTCAACCCATACTGATAATGCTGCTGTTCCAAGGTGTCTCATTTGCTTGCTCACCTTGCTGGATCAACATGTGAAAATAAGGAGAAAAAAAGCCTTAAAAAGAAAACTAATGCAGCCACAAGATTTAAGGATTGATACTCTGCAACAAATCACATTTCTGTTTTGGGATTTAATGCTGCTTTAAAATTTGAGCATCTGCATATTTATTGTTTTTTTTCCTGCTGCTTCTAATGTTTGTTATTTATAAGAACAGGTGAATATCTGTGACGTGTGGAAAAGGCCTTTACCAGAGCCTGAGAATGAAGACGGTGCTAATGGTAGCAGAAAAGCCTTCACTGGCTCAGTCTATTTCTAAAATTCTTTCTAAAGGTGAGAAAAAAAAGGCAAGAACCACAATTCAGAAAGCAACATGCAATGCCTTGAAAAAGTATTCATACCCCTTCAAATTTTCCACATTTTGTCATGTTATAATGAAAAACGTAAATGTATTTTATTGGTGATTTTATGTGATAGACCAACACAAAGTGGCACATAATTGTGAAGTGGAAGGAAAATGATCAATGATTTTCAAAATGTTTTTACAAATGTCTGAAAAGTGTGGTGTGCATTTGTATTCAGCCCCCCTGAGTCAATACTTTGTAGAACCACCTTTTGCTGCAATTACAGCTGCAAGTCTTTTTGGGTATATCTCTACTAGCTTTGCACATCTAGAGAGTGAAATGTTTGTCCGTTCTTTGCAAAATTGCTCAATCTCTGTCAGATTGGATGGAGAGCGTCTGTGAACAGCAATGTTTAAGTCTTGCCACAGATTCTCAATTGGGTTTAAGGTCTGGACTTGGACTGGGCCATTCTAACACATGAATATGCTTTGATCTAAACCATTCCATTGTAGCTCTGGCTGTATGTTTAGGGTCGTTGTCCTACTGGAAGGCGAACCTCCGCCGCAGTCTCAAATCTTTTGCAGACTGTAACAGGTTTTCTTCTAAGATTGCCCTGTATCTGGCTCCATCTATCTTCCCATAAAATCTGACAAGCTTCCCTGTCCCTGCTGAAGAAAAGCATTCCCCCTCAACATAATTCTGCCACCACCATGTTTCACAGTGGGGATGGTCTGTTCAGGATGATATGCAGTTTTAGTTTTCTGCCACACATAGTGTTTTGCTTTTAGGCCAAAAAGTTTAATTTTGGTCTCATCTGACCAGAGCACCTTCTTCCACGTTTGCTGTGTCCCCCACTTGGCTTCTCGAAAATTGCAAACAGGACTTCTTATGGCTTTCTTTCAACAATGGCTTTCTTCTTGCCACTCTTCCATAAAGGCCAGATTTGTGGAGTGCACAGCTAATAGTTATCCTGTGGACAGATTCTCCCACCTGAGCTGTGGGTCTCTGAAGCTCCTCCAGAGTTACCATGGGCCTCTTGGCTGCTTCTCTGATTAATGCTCTCCTTGCCCGGCTTGTCAGATTAGGTAGACAGCCATGTCTTGGTAGGTTTGTAGCTGTACCATACTCTTTTCATTTTCGGATGATGGGTTGAACAGTGCTCCATGAGATGTTCAAAGCTTGGGATATTTTGTATAACCTAGCCCTGCTTTACATTTTTCCACAATGTTATTCCTGACCTGTCTGGTGTGTTCCTTGGCCTTCATAATGCTGCTTGTTGACTTCTGAAGGCAATTTGTTCCACTAGATTTTAGTTAGGGGTATCAGAGTAAAGAGGGCTGAATACAAATGCATGCCACACTTTTCAGATATTTATTTGTAAAAAATGTTGAAAACAATATATAATTTTCCTTCCACTTCACAATTATGTGCCACTTTGTGTTGGTCTATCACAGTGGTCGGCAAGCCGCGGCTCGCGAGCCACATGCGGCTCTTTACCCACTCTAATGCGGCTCTTCTGTGTGCCGGGCGCCTGCTCCCCTCCCTCCTCTCGGTCGGCCCGCTTGCCTCCTCTCGGTTGGCAGCCCCAAAAGTGCGGACCTTTTAATTCGGCCCGCGGATGTGGCTGTCAGGATGTGTGTAGGCGGGGCAGCGTGCCGAACGTGAGGGGAGGGGAGCTAGGCTCCTCTCACAGTCCGCCCTGAAGACCCGAGCGGCGCGGGAAGACAGCGAGAGGAACGCAAAAGGTAAGTGAATTGACACGGGGGACTTGGCTTACTAGAAGGGGGGGGGGGGGGGGATAGTACTGTGGGGGATGAAATACTATATGAGGGATGAATTACTTTTATGAGGGATGAATTACTATATGGGGGGATGAAACCTACTATATGATGGCAGTGAAATACTATATGGGGGATGAATTACTATATGAGGGATGAATTACTAATGAGGGATGAAATACTATATGGGGGCCTTAAATTCCACTGTCAGGATAGAGAGAGCGCAAAGCGCATAAATACTATATGAGGGATGAATTACTTTATGAGGGATGAATTACTTTGAGGGATGAATTACTATATGGGGGATGAAATACTATATGGGGGGATGAAATACTATATGGGGGGATGAAATACTATATGATGGGATGAATTACTATATGAGGGATGAAATACTAATATGAGGGATGAAATACTATATGGGGGGGGGATGAAATACTATATGAGGGATGCCTTACTATATTGAGGGATGAAAATTTACTATATGAGGGATGAAATACTATATGGGGGGATTTACTATATGGGGGATGAAATACTATATGGGGGATTGTACTATATGGGGGGATGAAATACTATATGGGGGGATTTACTATATGGGGGATGAAATACTATATGAGGGATGAAATACTATATGAAAAATACTTATGGGGGGATGGGGGATGAAATCTATATGGGGGATGAAATACTATATGGGGGGATGAAATACTATATGGGGGGATGAAATTACTGGGGGGATATGGGGGATAGCGGGATGAATATACTATATGAGGGATGAAATACTATATGGGGGATGAAATACTATATGAGGGATGAAATACTATTGATTGGGATGAAATACTATACGGGGGATGAAATACTATACGGGGGATGAAATACTATACGGGGGATGAATTACTATATGGGCGATGAATTACTATGGGGGATGATGGGGGATGAATTACTATGGGGGATGAATTACTATATGGGGGATGAATTACTATATGGGGGATGAATACTATATGGGGGATGAATTACTATGGGGGATGAATTACTATGGGGGATGAATTACGATGGGGGATGAATTACTATATGGGGGATGAATTACTATGGGGGATGAATTACACTATGGGGGGTGAATTACTATATGGGGGATGAATTACTATGGGGGATGAATTACTATATGGGAGATGTATTTTCAGTTTTTAAAAATGTGGCTCTCAAAATAAATTTCAATCATGGTTTTGGCGAGATTTGGCTCAGTTGAAAAAAAAGGTTGCCCACCACTGTCTGAATGTTTAGCAGATCACTTTATATGTTCATCACATAAGATCCCAATAAAATACATTTACGCCTTTGGTTGTAACATGAAAAAATGTGGAAAATTTCAAGGGTATAGAATACATTTTCAAGGCACTGTAATGCAAAATCTGTTAGTTTCCTGGTCCAGAAATCTTCCAGTATGACATACAGAAGAGATAGCTTTTCCACTAGACAAGACAATCCAATAGAAGTTGAACCACCTTCAGACCAGACATGGCAGTTAAATGGTTGCTCGGGGGATGCTGTTGTTGTGTGAACGTTTAAAAGGTCTCAGTGTTCACTGTTGAGGTGCCAGGTGTACTTAAAATGCCTTAAATTCCACTGTCAGACAGTAGAGAGCATAGGCAAAAGGAACAGAGCAGATCAGAGCAGCTCTGTGTCTCATGATGGCAAATCAGTAATAATAAATGTTCCATAGTTTACATTTGGGAGCCTTGCAATTTAGGGTGGTTGTGAGATTTTTTTTTTTTTTTTAAGTGGTTGTAAAGGCTGAAGGTTTTTTACCTTCATGTATGCTATGCATGAAGGTAAAAAACCTTCAGTGTGCATCTCCCCCCACAGCCCCCCTAATACTTATCTGAACCTTATCTCGATCCAGCGATGTGCACAAGAGCAGCAGATCTTCTGGGTCCCTCCCTCCTCATTGGCTGAGACACAGTAGCGGGAGCCATTGGCTCCCACTGCTGTCAATCACAGCCAGTTATGAGGGAGTGGGGGCTAATCAGCACTCTGTGTGTCTCATGGACAAAGAAGTAGCATGCACTAGTGTCCTCAAAGCAAGCAGCTTGCTCTGGGGGCACTGAGCAAGGGGGAAGCCAGGAGCACCGGCAGGGGATCCTGAGAAGCGGAGGACCTGTGGAAAACCATTGCACAGAGCAGGTACGTATAACATGTTTGTTATTTTTTTTTAAAAGCTGAATGTTTAGCATCACTTTATATGTTGAGGGGTTAACCAATAACGGGTGGAGGTGCAAGGTTTCAAAATGTCACTGACCACCAATGTTGTGGGATTGTTTTGGGCTCAGTTAAAAGACCACCAATGATGAGGGGGGTGGTGTTAAAATACCACAGACCAGCAATGATTGTGAGGTTGTTTTGGGAAGGGGAGGTGGTGTAAAGTGTCACTGACCACAAATAATTTTGTAACATGCTGGTACTGAGGTGAGGTTAAAGTGGTTGTAAACCCTTACATATACCCAGTGAAGTGACTGGCCTCAGGTGAGACACAAAGACTAAAAAAAAAAATCCTCCTACATAAGTTGTACCTGTTTATCTGCAGTCTTCTCTGCATCCATACAAAGTGCAAAATATTTATATTTATAGCAGAGGATCAAAGGAGCAGACAAAGTGCTCTTAATTGAGACAAGTACACAATATAGAGAGATATTCTTTGTTCATATTTCATGTCTGAGGTGTACGACTTTAAGGAAGAAATTAAAGGAGGGTTGCAAAACTACAGTGGAACTAGAAACCATAGCAAGGGAGGTGTGAGGTCAACAGGCTAGGCACCATACATAGGAGAAGCGTAACATGGATATGTATACACAAACTGTTCTAAATGTAAACCTGGCCACACATACAGATTCCCTCCATCCATTCTACACAGAACAGATGGACGAATTTCCCACTGCAGCCATTGTATCTGACTAGATGCAGGAACTTTTCTGTGGCATTTTTCCATGTGGCGCCTTTCATTTTTCAATTGGAAGTTGGATGGAATGCAGCCGGCAGTTTATATACACTTTAATATACTGCAAGTCTTCATGTCTGAAAAAAAGGAAGCATTAGATAATATACAGCAGGTAAAATAAGTATTGAACACGTCACCATTTTTCTAGGTAAATATATTTCTAAAGGTGCTAGTGGCATGAACTTTTCACCACATGTCGGTAACAACCCATGCAAGCCATACATACAAAGAAACCAACACAAATACGTTCAGAAATTAAGTTATGTGTAATAACAGAATGACTCAGGGAAAAGTACTGAACACATGAAGAAAAGGAGGTGCAAAAAGGCATGGAAAGCCAAGATACCAGCTGAAATTTATCAGTAATTAGAAGCAATCCTGCCCCTTGTCAGTACAAATTAATATCAGCTGGTTCAGTCTCAACTAATGGCGTATAAAAAGTTGTCTCATTAATAAGGTGTCACACAAGAAACATCTCATGATGGGTAAAAGCAAAGAGCTCTCTCAAGACCTTCACAACCTTACTGTTGCAAAACATACTGATGGGATTGGTTACAGAAGGATTTCAAAACGTCTGAATGTTTCAGTGAGCACTGTTGGGGCCATAATTCGGAAGTGAAAAGAACATCATTTCACCATAAACTGGCCATGACCAGGTGCTCCTCGCAAGATTTCTGCTAGAGGAGTTAAAAGAATTATCAGAGTTGTCCAGGAGCCGAATACCACTTGTGAAGAGCTTCAGAAAGACCTGGATTGAGCAGGTACAATTGTTTCACAGCAAACAATAAGTAATGCCCTTAACCGACATGACCTGTATGCACACTTACCACGCTCTTGCGTGGTGAGCGTGGATACAGGCTGTGGCAGTTGAGGGCATTACTTATTGTTTGCTTTGGAACAATTGTACCTACTAATTCCAAGAAAAAGCATGTTGAAGCTTTTTTAAAGTTTGCTACACAACATTTAGACAAGCCTGTGAAATACTGGGAGAATATAGTCTGGTCAGATGAGACCAAAATTGAACTTTTTGAATTGCATAAAACATACCATGTTTGGAGGTCAAACGGCACTGCACATCACCCCAAAAACACCATACCAACAGTGAAGTTTGGAGGTGGGAACATCATGGTGTTGGGCCGTTTTTCAGCATACGGTACTGGCAAACTGCATACCATTGAAGGAAGGATGAATGGAAAAATGTACCAAGACATTCTTGATAAAAATCTGCTGCCATCTACCGGAATGATGAAGATGAAACGAGGGTGGACATTTGAGCAAGGCAATGCTTCCAAACACAAGCCATGGAAACTCACTTGAGAGAAAGAAAGTAAGGCTCCTTGAATGGTCCAGCTAATCACCTGATTTGAATCCAATAGAAAATCTATGGAAAGAACTAAAGATCAGAGTTCATAGAAGAGGTCCACTGAGCCTTCAAGATCTGAAGACTGGAAAAATGTGCCAAAATCACACCTGAGCAATGCATGCAACTAGTTTCTCCATACGGTAGGCATCCTGAAGCTGTCATTACCAACAAAGGATTTTGTACAAAGTATTAAATTTCAGTTAGCGTGCTCAACACTTTTTCCTTGTGTGATTCCATTTTATTACACATAACTTGACCGCTTAAGGACCACCCTATAGCAGATATACTTCCACAGGATGGCACCTGTGCCCCAAATCACGTATATATACATGATTTTGCATTTCCGAGTAGGGGCGCGCGCCCCTAATCGCAGCCGCGGATGTCAATCCCCGGGTCCTGGCTGGTAATTACCCACTGGCGCCCAGTGATTACCAAGCATCTCTGACGGGGAGGTAGATTGTTTTGTTTACAAACAATCATCCTCCCTGTCTGCTTGAGCACACTGCTCGGGATGGCTGTGCACAGTACAGCCATGCCGATCAGTGTGCTTACAGTGAAGAACACACCCCCGCCCCCTAGTAAAACACACAGCATACAGTTACCCTTTGATTGCCCCACACATTAACCCCTTCCTGCCCAGTGTTATTAGTACAGTATCAGTGCTTTTTTTTTTAGCACTGATCACTGTATTGGTGTCACTGGAGATGTCAGTGACACCAAGTTAGTTCACCCCCAGTGTCAGAATGTCCACCTCAGTCCCGCTAAAAGTCGCTGATCGCCGCCATTACTAATAGAAAATAATTTTTTTTTTAGCAAAGACATGTCGCAGAATACATTTTGGCCTAAATTTTATGATGAAATTAGATTTTTAAAATTTTTTTACTGGACATGTTTAATAGCAAAAAGTCCAAAATATTTTTTTTTTTCTCAAAATTGTAGGTCTTTTTTTGCTTATAGCGCAAAAAAAAAAAACGCACAGGCGATCAAATACCACTGAAAGAAAGCTCAATTCGTGGGAAAAAAAAGGATGTAAATTTCATTTGGGTGCAGCATTGCATGCCTGCGCAATTGTCAGTTAAAACAACGCAGCGCCGTAATACAAAAGATGGACAGGTCAGGAAGGGGGGTAAATCCTCAGGAGGGAAAGTGGTTAATTTCTGAACTTATTTGTTTTGGTTTCTTTGTATGGATTGCATGGGTTGTTGACGTGAAAATTTCATGTCAATAGCGCCTTTAGAAATATATTTACCTAGAAAAAAATGGTGCCATGTTCAGTACTAATTTTGCCTGCTGTATGTATATTTAGAAACATTAAAAATACAGTATTTCTCCTTTTAAGTTGCTTTTGATTTGTAAAAATACTGTAAAATGTAAATATGCTTTTCATTTAAATGTAACCCTTGGTGTAACTCATTTTCAAGTGTACAACTGGTTTAAGTTATTGATATGAGCGCAATTTTGGGTTTATTTCAGCACATTCACTGTTCTCACTATAGTTTTCTTTTATAGGGTCTGCCAGCACACGGAAAGGATTTAATGGCGCCTGCTCTGTACACGAGTACACGGGTTCATTCCTAGGACAGACCGTGCGTTTCAAAATGACATCAGTCTGTGGTCATGTAATGAGCTTGGATTTTATAGGTATTCTTTAGATCATGGTAAACTACTTTTTCATAACCCCATGTGCAGTGCAGTTCTTAAAATCCAGCATGTTGGTAGCAGGGAATAGATGAAGGGTATACTGTACAGCAAGAATGAATAACCTGTCATGGGTGATGTCTTCCTGTTTTCTCTATGCACACCTTCTGTGTCTGCATTTAAATTCACAAATTTTTCTGCCTAATGTAGACTGCATTTTTGAACACTTTTCTAAACTCCTCCACAATAAGTTTATTGTTTTGTGTCCTTTTTTCTTATTTACAGCATTTATTAAATAGAACTTCTAAATCATAACAGTAAATCAAAATAATGGATTTACTATTAGCACTGTGTTAATAAAACTCTCTACAGGACCTGTTTTCTGCCAGCAAAGTTTTCACTTTACATGCAGCTTGCTATTTTTTTTTTTTTTTTTGAGTGGTGTGTCAGAATTAGAGTACATTTTCAAGACAATTACTTCACTGACTGGCTTCCCATACACCTCTTGGTAGTCTAAGTGCAGGAAACGCAGGAAGAGGTTTAATGAGGTAGCTCAGCATGCAGCAGGGCCCTACATGAGGTCTTAATAAAAAAAAAAAGGAAAAAAAAAGGAAGGGGCAGATTTCTGAGCCACGTGTTGCATGTCTGCGGAGGAGTGAGTCACAATCTGTGAGGTGTAGAGATCTAATGTACGGGAGCACCCTCTGCTGGCACAGCTATAATTATCTGTGGTAGTCTTGGGTTAGCTAAGGCTCTTCAGCTGTTGAGAAACTACCTCCCCCAGCATGGCAAGCAAAGCATGCTTAGAGGTGTACTCATTTTTTAGAAAGGTAGAAAGTCACAGGTCAGCCACGGCTATCTACTTAATGTCAACATTCCAAAAACAGACCTTTTAGATTTAGTCATTTCAACAAGCATGGGTTGATATCTCTGTTATTCTAATATGTTGATTGGGTTTTGTTGCTAATATTACCCAGCCTAGTTTATTATACTATGGTCTCACAGCTGTAAACACATGCTTTATGCCTTGTACAAATATGTGTCATTTTATGTACTTCTATTTAAATAATGTTTAGTATTTATATGCATTACTATAAATGCTTTACAAAAGATAAAGGAGCAGTAGTTTGTGTTCACTAGGATACTAAGCAATGATAGTTGACACTGCACCCCATATATGTTACCTGCACTGGAGGTGTTCAGCATGGCTTCGGAATCCAACTAAGCAATGTGAATGGACATGCAGAGTAGTGGCTTGAGACTGAGTCTGATTGGGTGTCCCCATAGCAGGCTGCTTGCTCTGGGAGCACTAGGCACAAGGGAGGGGGGCCAGAAGCTCCAGCGGGGGGGACTGGAGAAGAGGAGGATTGGAGCTGCTCTGGGCAAAACTACTGTACAGAGCAGGTGAGTATGACATGTTTGGTATGCTTTTTTTTTTCTATTGCCTTTAATATCACTTTAAGGGTTTTTTCTCACTATCTTGAGCTGTATTTGTCTGCATAGTTCAGTACAAGGGTACATAGAGAATTAAAATTGTTCACAATCTAATGCTGCATTTAAGTGCATTGCAGCGTGTTGCATAAAAATGATGTGGTGCCTAGAGTTAGAGATTGTCTATTAATGACACTAATAAAGTTTAAAAAAGTACACAATATAATCTGTTGTAGCATCAGAACACACATTGGTGTGCATGTTCCATTGTGTGTGTGCTGGTGTGAACCAGCTATCACACAACTTTTTTTAGTAAAGATTCTTCACTCCTTTAGTAAATATATTAATATCGCATATTTGGAGCTCCTTCGCAATGACACTTTTGGGCATATTTATAAATCAGTGAATGTGACTTTCAACAAACATTCACCAGTAGTGAAATGCTGTCTTCTAAAAGACATGCATTAGGATGATTTACATGCATTGAATGCTTGGAATGTCACGTTCCCTGCTTTATAAATATATTCCTTTGTGTCCCAGAGAAAAGTCACACTAATGGTTGGGTTCCCAACTTCTAAGAAGTCCAGTGTCACTATCTGGTTGAACCATAGTTCTCATTTCTACGTATGCATTTTTTTCTGAATGTTGTTATTCCAAATCACATTTTATCACACATTATCATAGCAGTACGCACAATTACTGAGGACATCTGGTGGTTAATCTCTGTAATGTAATTGCACTTCGGCAATTACATTACAGTAATTGCAGGAGTAATTGCACTCGGCAGCGTAATATTCCTGGCACTCATTGATAAATACAAATTTGAGCTGTTTTATGCATCCACTAAGCCTTCAACAAACGCTCTCTTGTCCTAATCTTTGTTCTCACAAATGTTTTCTTGGTTAAGTGTGGTGCTGTAAGCGTTTTTGTAGTACTTTAATTTAGTAAAATATAATATATATATATATATATATATATATATATATACATATTATACATGGACACACACATATACACTGCTCCAAAAAAATTAAAGGAACACTTTTTAATCAGTATAGCATCAAGTCAATGAAACTCCTGGGATATTGATCTGGTCAGTTAAGTAGCAGAGGGGGTTGTTAATCAGTTTCAGCTGCTTTGGTGTTAATGAAAATAACAACAGGTGCACTAAATGGGCAACAATGAGATGACCCCCTAAACAGGAATGGTTTTACAGGTGGAGGCCAGTGACATTTTTTTCCCTACTCATATTTTCTGACTTTTTCACTAGTTTTGCATTTGGCTAGGGTCAGTGTCACTACTGGTAGCATGAGACGATACCTGGACCCTACAGAGGTTGCACAGGCATTCCAACTCCTCCAGGATGGCACATCAATACATGCCATTGCCAGGAGGTTTGCTGTGTCTCCCAGCACAGTCTCAAGAGCATGGAGGAGATTCCAAGAGACAGTTACTCTAGGAGAGTTGGACAGGGCCATAGAAGGTCCTTAACCCATCAGCAGGACCGGTATCTTCTCCTTTGTACAAGGAGGAACAGGATGAGCACTGCCAGAGCCCTACAAAATGACCTCCAGCAGACCACTGGTGTGAATGTCTCTGACCACACAATCAGAAAAAAGACTTCATGAGGGTGGCCTGAGGGCCCAACATCCTCTAGTGGGTCCTGTGTTCACTGCCTGGAACCATAGAGCTCAGTTGGCATTTTCCATTGAATACCAGAATTGGCAGGTCTGCCACTGGCGCCCTGTGCTTTTCACAGATGAGAGAAGGTTCACCCTGAGCACATGTGACAGATGTAAAAGGGTCTGGAGAAGCCGTGGAGAACGTTATGCTGCCTGCAACATCGTTCAGCATGACTGTTTTGGTGGTGGGTCAGTGATGGTCTGGGGAGGCATATCCATGGGGGGGGACACAGACCCCTATAGGCTAAACCAGCAATGGGCAAACTACGGCCCGGGCCGTATACGGCCCGGCGGACCTTTTAATCCAGCCCGCGGAGCGTGGCAAACATCGGCTGTCAGAATGTGTGTGTAGGCGGGGCAGCGTGAGGAACGTGAGGGGAGCTAGGCTCCTCTCACAGTCCGCCCTGAAGACCGGAACGGCGCGGGAACACGGCGAGAGGAACACGCGGAGCAAAGGTAAGTGAATTGACACAGGGGGGACTTGGGGACTTAATATGGGGGATGAATTAATATGGGGAATGAATTACTATAGGGGGGATGAATTTACTATAGGGGGGATGAATTACTATGGGGGGATGAATTACTATATGGGGGATGAATTACTATGGGGGGATGAATTACTATATGGGGGATGAATTACTATGGGGGATGAATTACTATGGGGGATGAATTACTATATGGGGGATGAATTACTATGGGGGATGAATTACTATATGGGGGATGAATTACTATATGGGGGATGAATTACTCTATGGGGGATGAATTACTATATGGGGGATTAATTACTATGGGGGAATATTACTATACTTACTATGGATGACACATACACATCATTCATCTACTCTTGGTCCGGCCCCCGGGTCCAATATATGAACCCATTGCAGCCCTCAAGTCAAAAAGTTTGCCCACTCCTGGGCTAAACAATGTTGCCTTGACTGCCATTAGGTATCGGGATGAAATCCTTGGACCCATTGTCAGACCCTAAGCTGGTGTAGTGGGTCCTGGGTTCCTCCTGGTGCACGACAATGCCCGGCCACATGTGGCGAGAGTATGCAGGCAGTTCCTGGAGGATAAAGGAATTGATACCATTAAGTGGCCCCCACGCTCGCCTGACCTAAATCTAATAGAACACTTCTGGGATATCATGTGTCGGTCCATCCGATGCCGCCAGGTTGTACCTCAGACTGTCCAGGAGCTCAGTGATGCCCTGGTCCAGATATGGGAGGAAAAACCCCAGGACACCATCTGTTTCATTAGGAGCATGCTCCGACGTTGTCAAGCATGCATACAAGCACGTGGGGACCTTACAAACTACTGAGTACCATTTTGAGTTGCTGCAATTAAATTTCAGCAAAATGCACTAGCCTGCTGCATATTTTTTTCACTATGATTTTCTGGGTGTCTTTGAATTCAGTCCTCTGTAGGTTGATTTTCATTTCCATCAAACGATGGGGCATCCTTACGTTCCAAATACATTACCCAGTCCATATCAGTGTAGATATCCAGCATGCTATTTTTCCACATTGAGATCTTCTGTGTTTTCAAAGTGTTCCTTTAATTTTTTTGAGCAGTGTATATTTTAGACTGTATTAGATCTCAAAATAATTTGTCATGGAAAGTAAAAATTTTTGTATTGCGATGTACACATAAGTATTGCTGTACAATTTTATTGCAGTGCATTACGCTACAACCACTTGTTTTCAGAATTCTCCATTAAAGTGTTACTAAAGGCTATTTTAAAAAAAATTTAAATAACAAACAAGTTTTACTTACCTGAACCTCCCCTGCTTGGGTCCTCCATCAGCGCTGTCCGCCGCTCCTTCTCTTCAGTGCCTGCCCAATAGCAAGCAATGGCTATGGGGTCAAACAAGTGGGCTTGCTAACGTGCCAGGCTGTGTGTGTTTATAGACACACATAGCTCGGCCTTGCCCCCTGCTCCCTGCATATGATTGACAGCAGCAGAAGTCAATGCTTCTCGTTGCTGCCTCTGTATCCAGGAGGGGAGATAGCAGCAGTGCTGCTCTCAGGCACAGTGCTGGATCAAGATCGGTCTCAGGTAAGTATTTAGGGGGAAGCTGTGGGGGAACCTAATCTTGGAAGGATTTTACCATAATGCAGAGAATGGATTAAGGTAAAAAAAAAAAACCCTTTAGCCTTTAAAACTAGTTCAAATGTGATTAGTTTATAAGCCAGCTTGCCATTTGCATTCTTGGAAAAGGAATAAGAGGTGATAAGAGTATAATCCTATGTCTTTTACAGTTGTAAATACCCTGGCAGAAATTGTGAACTTTTGGCATTGATATTGAAAATATGACTGGTCATGCCAAAAAATGTTCTTTTATTGAAGGATGATGATCATATGAAGCCATTTATTATCAAATAGTTGTTTGGCTCCTTTTTAAATCATAATGATAACAGAAATCACCCAAATGGTCATGATCAAAAGTTTACATACCCTGGAATGTTTGGCCTTGGTACAGACACACAAGGGGACACACAAACGGGTTAAAATGCCAATTAGAGGTTAATGTTCCACATTTGTGGCTTTTTAAATTGCAATTAGTGTCAGTGTATAAATAGTCGATGAGTTTGTTAGCTCTTACGTGGAAGCACTGACTAGGCTAGATATTGAGCCATGGGGATCAGAAAAGAACTGTTAAAAGTCCTGCGTAACAAGGTAATGGAACTTTATAAAGATGGGAAAGGACATAAAAAGATGTCCAAAGCCTTGAATATGCCAATCAGTACTTTAAATTACATATTAAGAAGTGGAAAGTTCGGGGATCTGTTGATACCAAGCCAAGGTCAGGTAGACCAAGAAAGATTGCAGCCATAACTGACAAGAATTGTCCGGGATTCAAAGAAAAACCCACAGACAACCTTTAAAAGAAATACAGGCTGCTCTGGAAAAAGATGGTGTGGTTGTTTTTAAGGAGTACCATACGGTGATACTTGAACAAAAGTGAGCTGTTTGGTCGAGATCCCAGAAAGAAGCTTTTTCTGCACCAATGCCACAAAAATGCCCAGTTACAATATGCCTGACAACACATGCCTAACCAGGCCTTTTTGTATCATTGATGCAGTAAAAGCTTCTTTCTGGCACCTTGACCATGCAGCTCATTTTTGTTCAAGTGTCATCATACTGTGCTCCTTCAAAACAACCACACTGTCTTTTTCCAGAGCAGCCTGTATTTTTCTTGTGGTTACCTATGGGTTTCCCTTTGTATCCCGAACAATTCTTCTGGCAGTTGTGGCTGCAATCTTTCTTGATCTACCTGTACTTGTCTTGGTATCAAGAGGCCCTGAATTTTCTACTTCTTAGTGGAAGTGATGGCTGGCATATTCAAGGCTTTTTACATCTTTTTATGTCTTTTTCCATCTTTATAAAGTTCCATTACTTTGTTACGCAGAACTTTTGACAGTTATTTTCTGATCCCCATGGCTCAGTATCTAGCCTAGTCAGTGCTTCCACGTAAGAGCTAACAAACTGACAATTTATACACTGACACTAATTGCAATTTAAAAAACCACAGATGTGGGACATTAGCCTCTAGTTGGCATTTTAACCCGTTTGTGTGTCCCCTTGTGTGTCTGTACCAAGGCCAAACATTCCAGGGTATGTAAACTTTTGATCATGGCTAATTGGGTGATTTCTGTTATCATTATGATTTAAAAAGGAGCCAAACAACTATTTGATAATAAATGGCTTCATATGATCATCATCCTTCAATAAAAGAACATTTTTTGGCATGATCAGTCATAATTTCAATATCAGTGCCAAAATTTCACAATTTCTGCCAGTATGTAAACTTTTGAGCACAACTGTATACCAGGCAAACACTTTTTTTATTTGTTTATTTGATTTTATCTTTCAGGGAAATATAACAACTGGGATAAAGTAGACCCAGCAGAGCTGTTCAGTAAAGCACCTACAGAGAAGAAGGAAGCCAACCCCAAGCTCAGCATGGTGAAGTTCTTGCAGGTTAGAGACAGATGCTCACTTACTTTCCAGGGTTTTTCTGGAATAATATTTTTCAGCCTTCAGATTTCTTAATTATAACCATTATTGCAATCTCTGCTGTCTCTATGGCATTATGCTCACAGTTTTCAAATAGATGTTGCACAATCACCATGCCCAAAAGATTGTACTGAAGCAAATTACTTTGCTTGTGCTGTATCACACAACATTCAATTCAGACTGCCCTTAACACTGCATTCTTATTGACATATACTGGTTTTCTTGGATTGCCAAGTTATTGGAGGAGTATTGGACTACCAAAAAGAACGCGGCTTATACTTCACATCAGTGGTAATAGCCTTTGCACATCCACGTTGCTCATGGCACTATTCCAGTAGTGCTATTGATAGTGAGGAATCCACACAACTCAGCAAAATAATTACCCTCACTTTCCTGTCATCAAAGTAGAACTATAGGCAAAACTTTATTTTTCATTTTGGATAGAGTAAGGGAGGGTTATAGCCCCTGTCAGTTTATGTTTTGCCATTTGTGTCCCATTAGGGAGATTTCCCTTCACCTCCTGTCCCATAGTTAAAACGAGAAGTGAGAGATAATTTCAGCAAATTAGGAAATTGCTTGAAAATCCCCAGGTCATCAAATCTAGTGTCACCATTAGAAGATTTCTCTCTATTTCCTTTCTGGGGGCAACCCAAAATTTGGGGTTTTCTTTACTCTCAATGAGAATGATAAACCATACAAATAGAGAGGTTGAATCTCCCTAATAGGGGCACATACAGCAATAAAAAACCTAACAAGTGTTATAATCTCTGTTTGCCTTTAGTTATACTGTAAGTGAAAAATCTGATGATATCACTCCTAAACAGCAAGATCTGTAAATAATGTTGACTTGCAAATATTAATTACCTTGAGGGTAACTGTTTTTTTTATGTCTAGCTTTAGGTCTGTAATGCATTTTGTAACACAATTATTGTCTCTCATAAAAAATGTATAGACTATTTCTGCTGGATAGCAGGTTTCATAGTTGCCAGTTAATACATTTGCCTTTTTCAGTCATGTACCCCAGATTGCCTTCAGAACCTTTTAAAGCTTCTATTTTAATTTGACCACCTGCTATGGGTAGAAGAGGGGCAACCCTTTCCGCATTCCACAATGCAATACTTAGTGCCCGAGAGACTTTTAGCCAGGCTTAAACATTGCCATGTGGGAAGCAGAATAGCTTGTCTATGCACAACTCAACTTTCTGAAGTTCTGTCTTTAAGTGTTTTAGGGCTTTGCAGCAGTGCTCAGGGGACTCCAAGTTGAAAAATAAAATCTGGCATCTGCTGCATAGCAGCTCAGAGAAACTAGAATTTGTATGTTTTAATACAGGGTTTTCAGAACAAAAAAAATACTGCTACTAAATTCCCAGAATCCAAACCCTGAAAGCAAAACTAAAGGCAAAACATTCCTTTTCAATCTGGATAGAGCAAGGAAGGGTTATAATCTGTATGTGTGGGGAGTTTTTTTGCCACCTGTGTCCTATTCGGGAGATTTCTCTTGGCTTCCTGTCCCATAGCCAAAACAGGATGTGAGAGGAATTTCTGCCAAAGTGAGGGAATCTCTGGTTGCTATCAGAGTTAGTGTCCCCGATTGAAGATTTTTCCTCTAGTTCTATTCTGGTGACAACTGGAGTTTGCATATTCTCCCTGTGTCTGCGTGGGTTTTCTCCGGGTACTCTGATTTCCTTCCAAACTCCAAAGACATGCTGGTAGGTTAATTGGATCCTGTCTAAATTGTCCCTTGTATATGTATGTGAGTTAGGGAACTTAGATTGTACACCCCTTGAGGGTTAGGGACTGATGTGAATGTACAATATATATGTAAAGTACTGCGTAAATTGAAGGTGCTATATAAGTACCTGAAAAATAAATAAATAAACTCAGAATTTGGGAATTTCACTTTCTCTCTTGGTATTAGCACTAAACAGGACAAATAAAGACGGTGAATTTTCCTAACTGAAGCACAGACAATAGTAAAAATCCTGTATCCAAAATGAAAAAAAAGTGTTGCTTTTAATAATAATTTAACCGTTGCCAACACCCACTCTCCTCACACCTGAGCCCTAAAACCCGTTCCTTCACCTAACATGAATTTATGGAGACTGATGTTTTAGTAACAAAAGTCATCTATCTTTATTTTCATGAGATTGCTTGAGTTTGCTATTTAAATGTTTGTTAGCAGAAACAGGCTTTATCCATTTTAAAGTTTCATTTTACCATCTGGCAGCTGAGTAGTGTCTGCAAGTGACCATCCTAATGCACAAAATGATGGAATGGTTTCCAGACATCAATTTTAAAGACCATTTGTGTTTTTGCATGTTCCATAGACAGTCTATATTTGAGGTAATGGTAGTTCATAGTGTGGTAATTTGTGTGTCTGCCATTTCCCAGGTTGAAGGACGTGGCTGTGACTATGTAGTCTTGTGGCTGGACTGTGATAAAGAAGGAGAAAATATCTGTTTTGAGGTAACAATCCAACACCTTTTTTGCTATCCCCCACAAAGCTTGATCTGTTATCATATGTTATATGTTCTATGTTATCATGTAAAGCTGGCCATACATGCATAGATTTTTTTTCCGTTCAGCTTTTAGATGGACATATCTCCTGCTGTAACTCTTGTATGTTGATCGCTGGCCCCACCAACTTTCAGAATGCCCTTACAGTGCCTGCATCTGATATGATTCAGTCGCTGCTTGGCTGAAATTTTTCTGCCTTATTACTTTTATTTTTCAGTTGAGGGATGTCAAGCGAGAGGCAGCTTACAGGGTCCACCCACTAAGCAAATCTTGAATGGCTTATCAGGAACTAGCTGAAACTCAATCCATAGTTGGCCAGTTTAAGACACACTCACTGGCCACTTTATTAGGTACACCTGTTCAATTGCTTGGTAAGACAAAGTGCTAATCAGCCAATCACATGGCAGAAACTCAATGCATTTAGGCATCTAGAGTGGTGAAGATGACTTGCTGAAGTTCAAACTGAGCATCAGAATGGGGAAGAAAGGGGATTTAAGTGACTTTAAATATGGCGGGGTTGTTAATGTCAGACGAGCTGGTCTGATTATATAAAAAACTGCTGATCTACTGGGATTTTCACGCACAACCATCTCTAGCGTTTATAGAGAATGGTCCAAAAAAGAGAAAATATCCAGTGAGCGGCAGTCGTGTGGGAGAAAAAGCCTTGTTGATGTCAGAGGTCAGAGGTCAGAGGAGAATGGGCAGACTGGTTCAAGATGATAGAAAGGCAACAGTAACTGAAATAAACACTTGTTACGACCAAGGTATTCAGAATACCATCTCTGAATGCACAACACTTCAAACCTTGAAGCATATGGGCTACAGCAGCAGAAGACCACACTTGGTGCCACTCCTGTCAGCTAAGAACAGGAAACGGAGGCTACAATTCGTACAGGATCACAAAAATTGGACAATAAAAGGTTGAAAAAAACGTTACCTGATCTAATGAGTCTCGATTTCAGCTGCGACATTCAGATGGTAGTGTCAAAATTTGGCATAAACAACATGAAAGCATGGATCCATCCTGCCTTGTATCAGCAGTTCAGGCTTGTGGTGGTGTAATGGTATGGGGGATATTTTTTTGGCACACTTTGGGCCTCTTAGTACCATTTGAGCATTGTTTAAACGTCACACCTGAGTATTGTTGCTGACCATGTCCATCCTTTTATGACTCCAGTGTATGCATTTTCTGATGACTACTTCCAGCAGGATAATGGCACCATGTTACAAAGCTCAAATCACCTGGTTTCTTGAACATGACAATGAGCTCACTGTACTCCAATGGCCTCCACAGTCACCAGATCTCAATCTGCCAGTACTAAATGTTTCTAAAGGTGCCTTTTTTTTTTGTAGTTTTTTTTATATAAGAGTAAAATTCCTCTTTAACCACTTGCCTACCAGGCACTTATACCCCCTTCCTTACCAGGCCAATTTTCAGCTTTCAGCGCTGCCGCACTTTGATTGACAATTGCGCGGTCATGCAACATTGTACCCATATGAAATTTTGATCATTTTTTTCTCACAAATAGAGCTTCTTTTGGTGGTATTTAATCGCCACTGGGCGCTTTACTTTTTGCGCTATAAATTAAAAAAAGTGCAAAAAATTTGAAAAAAAAAAAAAAGTTTATTTGTTTCTTTTATAAAATTTTTCAAACAGGTATTTTTTCTCCTTCACTGATTTGCGTTGATGAGGCAGCACTGATGGGCACTGATAGGCAGCACTAAAGGGCACTGATAGGCAGTACTAATGAGGTGGCACGGATAGGCGGCACTGATAGACAGCACTAATTAGGGGTCACGGATAGGCGGCACTGATATGCAGCACTGATAGGCGGCACTGATAGGTGACACTGATGATGGGTACTGATAGACGGCACTGACTGGCATCACTTCTGGGCACTGACTGGCGGCACTGACTGGCACAACCCCTGGGCACTGACTGGTGGCACTGACTGGCAGCACTGCTGGGCTGCACTGGTGGGTGGCACTGGTGGGCAGCACTGGTGGGTGGGCACAGGTGGGTGGCACTGGTGGGCACAGGTGGGTGGCACTGGTGGGTGGGCACAGGTGGGTGGCACTGCTGGGCACATGTAGGTGGCACTTCTGGGCACAGGTAGGTGGCACTGCAGAGTGCACAGGTGGGGGCACTGCTGGGCACAGGTGGGGGCACTGCTGGGAACGGGTGGGCGGGGCTAGTGGGCGCACTGCTGGGCGGAACTTGCGGGTGTCACTGCTGGGCACCGATCATCAGGGCACTGATCATCAGTGCCCTGATGATCGGTGCCGATCCCCGCTCTGACAACTGCCGGTTCTCGGCAGTACTTTCCTCACGATCTGACAGCGTGAGGAAAGTGCAGCCGAGAACCGGCACTTGCATTTCCCTGTGATCAGCGTGTCATTGGACACCGCTGATCACGTGGTAAAAGGCCGGTGGGATCGGCCTTTCACCACATCACGTGATCAGCTGTGTCCGTAGGACACAGCGATCACGGAGATCGCCGGGTGCGCGCCCCCTGGGGCGCGCAGGAGAGCGCGTTTCTGGGAGGACGTCATATGACGTCCACTCAGAACTGGCCGGCCGCGGTGAAGCCGTCATTCGGCTATGCGCGGTCGGCAAGAAGTTAAGCAGGAGATAAGACAGCCTGTCACACAGAAAATGAGGGTATACTTCCAATCAGAGGAGAGACTACTGCAGATGAAACTGCAATATTTTATCCACTTTAAGACCACCCCATAGCATATGTACTGCTACAGGGTGGGCTCGCTGTGCAAAATTATGTAAATATACGTGATTTTGCATTTACGGATAGGGGGCACGGAATTAGGCTGTTGAATCCCTTACAATTTAAAATTGCAGCGCCTAAGTGGCTAGTAAAGGTAAGCTGGTCTATTTTAGCCAGTGAAGTGTTGAAGTGTATACAGTGGGGCAAAAAAGTATTTAGTCAGCCACCAATTTTTGCTCTTCGTTCTTGTGATCATTTTGACCCCACAGGGTGAAATCTTGCGTGGAGCCCCAGATCGAGGGAGATTATCAGTGGTCTTGTATGTCTTCCATTTTCTAATTATTGCTCCCACAGTTGATTTGTTCACACCAAGCTGCTTGCCTATTGCAGATTCAGTCTTCCTAGCCTGGTGCAGGTCTACAATTTTGTTTCTGGTGTCCTTCGACAGCTCTTTAGTCTTCACCATAGTGGAGTTTGGAGTGTGACTGTTTGGGGTTGTGGACAGGTGTTTTTTATACTGATAACAAGTTCAAACAGGTGCCATGGATACAGGTAATGAGTGCAGGATAGAGGAGCCTCTTAAAGAAGAAGGTACAGGTCTGTCAGAGCCAGAAATCTTGCTTGTTTGTAGGTGACCAAATACTTATTTTCCACCATAATTTGCAAATAAATTCTTTCCAAATCAGCCAATGTGATTGTCTGGATTTTTTTTTCTCATTTTGTCTCTCATAGTTGAGGTCTACCTATGATGCCAATTACAGGCCTCTCTCATCTTTTTAAGTGGGAGAACTTGCACAATTGGTGGCTGACTAAATACTTTTTTGCCCCACTGTATATGGAAAAAAATCAAGATTGACATATCTACTGCAGTAAGGCACCAGCATTGACAGAGCAGTTGTTTTTCTTGTTGTTTTTTTTTTTTCTCATCCATTAAGGGACACATGAATCATTAATTGTTTTAAATTTTTTTGTTAGGGTCCTTTTCTTCTGTTTTCCAGGAGAAAGTCTCACCAATTTGTTCATTCAATCACGATACTTCATACATCACTGCCATTGCCCCACATTGTGGAGGTGATCTTCGAACATTGGGTTCAACTTAAGGCTCTTTCCAGACCGTTATCTGGTAACCAGTTAGCTAGGAAGCAATTTCCAGATCCAGAGCTGCTGATATTGCCTCAGCACTCACCCTGTATCTGAGGACTCACTTTGTGAGAAGGCCATTCAGAATGAGGACAAGCAGTTACTTAATTATTTGGACTGCTTGTAGCTTTCAAATTTCTTGGTTTTTCCACAGAAAGGATTAACGCTGAGGCATTTAGGTGTCCGTTTATGACACAGAGAATAGCTGCGATACAGAGGATCTACTCTCTAGTCATTCACAGTTTATGACACTCTGGAGATCAGCGAGGAGCGATGTCAGCCCTTCACTGGAGATCTGTGTTCTCCCTCCAGATTCTCCAGCCCAGAGCTGGAGATTCGGAGGAACCGCAAACTGAGCAGCGATAATTTACCTCTGTTTAGTAAACTGACCTCTTACTGTAATCTTGCGAGATTATATTAAAAGTAGACGTTTTCCAGTGTTTGTAGATCGTTCTCCCTTCATTCGGAGAACTTATCTACACCGCTTCATAAAAGGTATTCACAGGAGAACTGTGTTCTCCGAGAATGCCGGAGAACTGAGCAGCGATCATTTACCGCTGGTTCATAAACGGACACCTCTGTGAGGGCTCCGTCCACTGGGTGGAGAATCACACGCACACTCTGAAGTTGAATTACTAAAACTGGAGAGTGAAAAATCTGGTGCAGCTGTGCATGGTAACCAATCAGCTTCTAATTTCAGCTTGTTCAGTTAAGCTTTGACAAAAAAAAACCTGGAAGCTGAAGTTTCTATGCAGAGCTGCACCAGATTCGCACTCTCCAGTTTTAATAAATCAACCCCTCTGTGGTCTCTTTCAGCTTCGAGAAAGCTCTTCACTGCTGCTGCTCCTGCTTGCAGAAGCCACGTGGAGCCACGTGGAGTCCCAATCCTCTTTCCTTTCTTGCTGCCCACCATTAGTGACTTTGTTACCTCTGGCATTTTGACCCAAAACCTTGTGGTTGGGTGTTAATACTTGGGGCCTTGCATTATACTATGAGCTACATGTCAGCCTTGTGGTTGCAATAAATCTGATTCTAGACACAAAGGAGACATTCCCACTATACCCCCAGCTCACACTCCACTAATGCTTCTGGGGGTGCTTGCAGCATGCCTACTGATGTGGCCAACATCTGAAGCCTGGAATCTTTTTGCCCTCTGCTTCTAGAGTCTAGGAGTCATGCATGACTTTAGGGGCCAAAAAACACAGGTGTTTGCTAACTCTGAAAACAGAGGTCACAAATGTGCCCTGCAGATTATACAGTATATCTGAAGCGCCCATAGCATAAGCAGCCTTTAACCAGCCACTGGGACAGGCAGGAGTCTGGCACTGATTCTCCAGTCCTTGCCAGAGGAATCTGCCTCTCTGAGGACTCAAAGTCTTCTGCCATCACTCTCAAAATAAGGAAAACCGTTTTGGCTTTTACCGATGTGGTATGCACCACCTTAAAACTAGAGGACACTTCTACCAGCTCTGTCTCCAGTCCAGGATCCTTTGGAGCTCCTAAGATTGCCAAGACCTTTCTGGCACCCCCTGCTGTTCCAGGTCTTCCTTTATGGAGACTAGGATATATTGAGAGAGGACTTTGTTAAAATATGGTCTGCACTGTCCCATTTTAACAAAATATACAGAATTTGGATGAAAGATGGGCCCATCCTGAACAACCCCAATAGTAAGTGGTTGGTGACCCTCTCTACAGCCTTAAGGTGGGTATACACCTACAGAAAGTCTGCTGGTTCAGCAGAAACTGGCCACATTTTGGTACATGTGTACTGCTGGCTGTTCACCAGAAGCTGTTCTTATGACCAGCTTCTGTCAGCCAGTCATGCTGCAAAACCAGCATTCGATCAGCAGTTGCAGCCAATTGCTGCAGCACTGATTTGTGTATTCTAAAGGGGGGAAGAGATCCTCCCTGTCAGACTACAATAGAACATCGCTTGTGTTGTTGCAGGCATCTGTGAGTGCAGTGTATACCCTGCCTAAGGATACATTAGCCTTTAATGGTAGAATAGTATTCATGGCCTTATTCTCTCTGGCAGGCCTGACTCTGCATCCAGGTTTTGTGGCTATTATAAGGGTTCTGACCACTATGATGGTTGATCCCTTGATCATGGAACATTTGAAATAAAAAAGCTGCAGCAGTGAACCTACAATTTTAACAGATATCAAAATCAAGAATGCCACAGATGCTATGAACACCCATCTTCCTCAGTGAATGAAACCTAAGGCTCACTTTGGGAAAGCTTATCCTTCACTGAAGGTTACTCCAAAGAGTCCAAGTCGGCTCCCAGGCCACCCACAAGTCCAGGAACTCCACGTCTACTAAACTCCCAGACAATTCTTGGTGTGAATGTGTGTCCCACATTCCAAAGTGGGGGATGTCTGTTTGCGTTTGCGGACATTTGGATGGCTTGCATCCCAGATGCTTGGTTGCGGGAGATGGTTTCCAGAGGCTACATGCTAGAGTTTCACTCCCAGCCCTCTCCTCAGTTTTTCAATTCCAACCTCCATGTTTCACTGCACAGATTAGCAGTTCTTCAGGTAGCCCTTCTGGAACAGGGTGTCATTGCTCCATTATTTGTGGCTTTATAGTTTCAGCGGTCTTACTCCAACCTGTTCACAAATAAAAAGAGAACATTCACCAAGCTTGGATTTCAAAGCACTAAATGTTTTCATTTGGGCTTATATTCCACATGGAATCCACCAGGTCTGTTGTAGCTTTCCTCTGTCAAGGGGACTTGCATATCCTTGATGTGCACAGAGGCCAGTGTCTATATGTCGCCATCTTTCCAGCACACCAGCAACATCTACAGTTCATATATATCTGGACACAGGCACAATTTTAGTTTTTTTCATGTTTTTACCAAAACATATTCAAGCTATAGTTATATAATGGATATGGGCTGAAAGTGCACACTCCCAGGTTTAATTTGAGGGTATGTACATCCAAATTGGAGGAAGGGTTTAGGAATTACAGCTCTTAAGAACCATCCCCCTTTTTCAAGGGACCAAAAGTAATTGGACAATTCAATCAAAAGCTATTTCATGGCCAGTTGTGGGCTACTCCTTTTGTTATTTCTTCATCAATTAAGCAGGTAAAAGGTCTAGAGTTGATTCTAAATGTGGTATTTGCATTTGGAATCTTTTGCTGTGAACCTACAATTTGAGTTCAAAGGAGCTGTCCATGCAAGTCAAAACAGACCATTGTAAGGCTTCAAAAACTAAACAGATAGCAGCAACATTAGGAGTGGCGAAATCAACAGTTTGGTACATTCTGAGGAAAGAAGAACGCACTGGTGAGCATGGATGTCCGAGGAAGACAACAGTGGTGGATGATGGTAGGATCCTATCTATGGTAAAGAAAAACCCACCCATTCACAACATCCAGAAAAGTGAAGGACACTCTCCAGGAGATGGACGTATCATTGTCAAAGTCTACAATCAAGATTTGGTACATTCTGTTGCTGAGCTCACCAGTGCGTTCTTCTTTCCTCAGAATGTACCAAACTGTTGGTGGAAACCCCCCCTAATTGAGACTCTAAAGGCATCACAAAGATGAATAAAAGTTACATCAATCGTAATTGAACATAAATGTGTTAAAATTTGTCAGCCATAAATTCTAGTATAGTCAATATTCCTAGGAGATTAATAGAGAAACACAGCTCCATACACAGTAAGATCCTCCAATTTTATAAATAAAATTTGTCCAAAAGATCCTAAATGGAGAGCTAGCAGCGAAACTTTACTTACTTTAAGTAAGTGCCTAATTCCAGTTAACATTCTTTAAACCTTTGCAGCAATAGAAACATTTATCTTCTAAGAAGTGCTAGTGAGATTTTCTCAGTTTGTTTTGATAAATCCTGTACAACCCATCATTTATGTTGCTGGCCTTTCTCTCAGGTCTTAGATGCTGTGCTGCCAGGGATGAATAAAGCACATGGTGGGGAGCGAACAATTTATCGTGCCAAGTTTAGCTCCATCACAGATACAGATATCATGAATGCCATGAACAGACTGGGGGAGCCCAATAAGAATGAAGCTCTTTCTGTAGATGCCAGACAGGAGCTTGACCTACGAATTGGCTGTGCATTCACCAGGTAAATGTCATGTTCTTATTTCTAGTGCAGATGTGCTTATGTATTTTTTTCTTATATAAGTTGACAATTGCTTTCTTTTCAAATCACATTTTACATATATTTTTATGTTCATTTAACTACCTAGAGGGGATTGGGTATTATGCTGGGATAGATGTGACGGTAAAATGGAAGACAAAAAGGACTTGTGGGACACAGTAATGCAGGCCATAGATGGGTCGAAAATCGGCCGATTTTTCGGCCGAAAATAAAATTGGCCGATTTTCGGATCGTTAGTGGGCTATTTGTTCGGCCGTTTTTCGGTATTTTGGCAGATTTTTTTTATCGGTAAAGTTGGAAAAAAATCGGCCGATTTTGCCGATTGGCCGATTTTTGCGGCAATGATGGGCAAATCGGCCGATTTTTTACCGATAAAAAATCTGCGCATGAGCAGTGACCTGCAAGAGGAAGACAAAAAGAAGAAGAGGAAGAAGAAGAGGGTGAAGAAGAAGAAGAAGGGGATGATGATGAAGAAGAAGAAGAAGGGGATGATGATGAAGAAGAAGAGGATGATGAAGAAGAAGGAGAAGAAGAGGATGATGATGATGAAGAAGAAGAGGATGATGATGAAGATGAAGAAGAAGATGAGGATGATGAAGAAGAAGAGATGATGATGAAGAAGAAGAGGATGATGAAGAGGAAGAAGAGGATGATGATGATGAAGAAGAAGAAGAAGGATGAAAAATAAGAGGAATTCCAGTAGGGCAAAAAGTCCCTGCAGAGAGCTCCGCTATTTCTTTGACAGTTCTTTGACAGTTCCTTGACATTTACAGCGGTTGCAACATTGTATCTCTTTGTTTCCGAATAAAAACATAGATACATTGTTGCAACCGCTATAAATGTCAAAGAACTGTCAAAGAAATAGCAGAGCTCTCTGCAGGGACACTTTTTGCCGGCTGTAGGGATGAAAATCGGCCGATTTTTTTTTTACCATTGCTGGTAACGTCGGCCGGTTGAACGACCGATTTTTCGTTTTTTTAAAAGAAAAATCGGCCGTTTTTCTCCCCGTCTATGGCCTGCATAAAGCTATGTACACTCACCAGCCACTTTATTAGATACACCTGTTCAATTGCTTGATAACACAAATTGCTAATCAACCAATCACATGGCAGCAACTCAATGCATTCAGCCATGTAGACGTGGTGAAGACAACTTGCTGAAGTTCAAACTGAGCATCAGAATGGGGAAGAGAGAAGATTTAAGAAACTTTGAACGTGGCATGATTGTTGGTGCCAGATGGATTGGGGCTGAGTATTTAACCATTTCAATACCGTGCAATTTTACACCTTCCTGCCCAGGCCATTTTTCAGGTTTCAGCGCTCTCACACTTTGAAGGACAATTGCGCAGTCATACAACACTGTACCCAAACTAAAATTTTATCATTTTCCTCACACAACTAGAGCTTTCTTTTGGTGGTATTTAATAATCGCTGGGGTTTTTTTTTTTTGCTAAATTAACAAAAAAGACCGAAAATTTTGAAAAAAAACACGTTTTTCTTTGTTTCTGTTATAAAAGTTTGCGAATAAATAATTGTTCTTGATAAATTTAGGCTGAGATGTATCCTACTACATGTCTTGGTGAAAATAACCCAAATTAGGATGTATTTTTTAGTGTGTAGGAAAGTTATAGAGTTCACAAACTATGGTATAGATCTGAATATTGATCAATCCTGAAGTACTGACAGCCAATCTAATTTCTTGAGGTCCAAGATTGTCAGAATAGTACAGATATCCCCCAAATGACCACTTTTTGCAAAGTAGACAGTTCAACGTACTTCATAAGAGGCATGGCGAGTTTTTTTAAGTTTTTGTCATAATTTTTTTGTCATAATTTTTCGGAAAATGAAAAAATAAAATTTTTTTTTAAATACTGTCACCAGTGCAGTACAGCGTCATCATATAGCTGGCATGGCAGTGATCAGGGACACTGACTGGTGACAGTGTGAAAAAAAAAAAAAAAATATATATATATATATTTTTTTTTTTTTATTTTAAATTTTTTATTACATTTGTTTTATTTTTTTTAAGATTTATTTTTATATTTTACTATGACCAAAGTAGTACAATGTTACCATAGTAACATTGTACTACTTTGGGGAAGTGTTAAGTATTTTTTTTTTTTTTTTTTTTTTACACAATTTGCTTATAGCAAAGAATTACTTTGCTATAAGCAAGCATTTACCTGAATGACATCGATTCATTCAGGGTTTTTTTTTTTTTTTGTGCTTAGCTGTGATTTGGCCACAGCTAATCACATGACATGTACATGTGATTAGCTGTGACCATTCACAGCTAGACACTAGTATACAATAGATGGCATGAATGAAGCCATCCACTGTATACAACTGTCATGTGACCTGCTGTGATTGGTCACAGCAGGTCACATGGTACCGGCAACGGGGGCGGTACTCAGATCTGTCATCGGCCATTTCAGAGGTACACGGCCGGTGTCAGATCGCGCCACTGCGCAGCTCTAAAGCGCGCAAACTGCGCATGTGCGGGAGGACGCCATATGGCGTCCTCCCGGAAAGCTAATACATTTTTGCGGACGCCATTTGGCCATAGGCCGGGCGTCAAATGGTTAAAAAACTGCTGATCTGGGATTTTCACGCACAACCATCTTTAGGGCTTACAGAGAATGGTCTAAAAAAGAGAAAATATCCAGTGAACGGCAGTTGTGTGGAAGAAAATGCTTTGATGTCAGAGGTCAGAGGTGAATGGGCAGACTGGTTCGAAATGATAGAAGGACAACAGTAACTCAAATAACCACTCGTTACAACCAAAGTATGCAGAATACTATCTCTGAACGCACGAACCTTGAAACAGATGGGCTACGACAGCAGAAGACTACTCTTGGTGCCACTCCTGTCCACTAAGAACAGGAAATGAAGGCTACAATTCACACACCAAAATTGGACAATAGAAGAATGGAAAACATTGCCTGGTCTGATGAGTTTCACTTTCCCTAGAGATGGCTGTGCATGAAAATCCCAGTAGATCAGCAGTTTTTGAAATACACCAGCCTGTCTGGCACCAACATCCATGACACGCTCAGTCACTTAAATCCCCTTTGTTCCAATTCTGATGCTCGGTTTGAACTTCAGCAAGTGATTGGCTGATTAGCAATTTGTGTTATCAAGCAAATGAACAGGTGTATCTAATAAAGTGGCCGGTGACTGTATAGGAAATGTTGATCCATGAAAATGTATGCAATCCTGACACAAACTTCACAGAGGACACTGCAAGCCTAGAAGCTGTATACTGTATAAACCTTTACTGTAAAATATTACCGACAGTGGTAAATCAGATGAAAATTTTAATTACAGCTAATTGTACCATAAGAATAGACATAGCACCATTGTGTGGCAACCTCAGTGTATGCAGTACAAATGATCACAAAATCTCATTTAATACAGCTCTTCCGAATCAAGCAAACCATTAGTAATGCTGTTTTCCATTCAGGAATTGTATAGTTTAATAAGGATAGCCTTAAAGATTAAGTTTTAGGTATGGACTGTTTTGCACAGTTACATTGGTCCAGCTTGGACCAATAGAATGATGCATGTGCCATAACTGGGCGATGCCCATGGAAGATGAAAATCACTGTAGTAGGCATCGCTATTACTGTGATCACCACTGACTTCTGGGGCCCATGCCAAGTTGCTGCTGTGCTGCTTAGTGAACACAGAAGGTCCCTTGCTTGTCACGAATGTCATTCAGGGAATACCTTGTATTTTCTCAGTGAATACAAAGCATTCTCTGATTGGACGAGATGGAGATCATGACTTCGCCAGCCCTGCCTCTCCACCTTGTCCAGTCAGAGAATGCTTTGCATTTATTGAGACCTGTTTGTGTTCACCAAGCAGCTGGGTAGCCGCTTGGCGTGTGTCATGCAGGCTAGTGGCAATCACTGTGGTAATGGTGCTTGTTTCAGTCATTTCCAGCTTCCACAGCCATTGACCAAGTATGGAATATGCATGCATACATTGATCTAAGGTGGGCCTATGTAACTGTAAAAAAATTCTTAGGTAAAGATAGTGCTGTTAAGTCTAGGTTCATGTTTGTGCAGGTGGTTCTGCTCTGCACAAATTCCAGCAGCCACAACCACCCATGCTAAGAAATGCGGGACCTACAGGCAGGTGACATTAATCCTAATGGCACGCTGCCTGTACTGGAAATCACAAACGTACTGGGAACCTAGGTTCCCATGCGGTCTGCAATTTCAAAAATAGTGCAGGGACTTCTTTCCTGCATGTCCCAGGGCACGGCAACCCATTCAAGTGAAACATTAAGGAACCCTAATGAGAGTTTTCAGTGCTGAAAGTGCTTATAGCAAACAGATTTTTCAACAGATAATGACAGAGCCATGTTCTCCATGAAAAGAGGAAATGGAGGTGTTATTAGCATATTTACTACTTCTGCCTGTCAGGCCAGCTGTGTGATAAACAACGATTAGTTATGGGCTAATTCTCAGCTAGTCATTTTGCTTATTGACAGCTAATCTACATATCATGAAAAAGTCTAGAAAAGCTTAAGATGTTTCACTTTTTTTTTGTTTGCCATACAGGTTCCAGACTAAGTATTTTCAAGGGAAATATGGTAACCTGGATAGCTCTTTAATATCATTTGGTCCCTGCCAGACCCCCACATTGGGATTTTGTGTGGAGAGACATGACAAGATTCAGTCGTTCAAACCTGAGACTTACTGGGTTCTTCAAGTCAAGGTGGGTCATATTGATGATGGTGTACTTGAGCCTTGTGTAAATGTGTCTAAAAGAAATGTTTCGTACCAACCAATAAACTTTAGAATTTCTTCAGGAAAAGTTATTTTTCTACTTTTCATCTCACTGATGCGGTGTGGGAAACGCTGCGAATCTTATGGTCACATGCCTGATGAAGGGGTCCTGCGAGACTCCGAAACGTTGCCTTGCTGTAACTGTGATCGTTCATTAAAACTTTTGGACCCATATTGGTGATTCTCGGTGTGCTGGTGACATTCTCCCTTGCTGATACTGTTCAGTTCCAGCTCACGATCAGTGCAGCACCCACTTATACACACAGCAATTTTTAACGCAGGAACGTGTGCGTTTGGATTGTACACTTGCATCCTGTGCGTTTCCCACACCACGTTGCAGTCGCATGGTGTGCAAGCGATCTGGTGCGGGTGTCAATGTTAAATTAATGACAATCTGAAACAGATCTCAAAACGCAGTGTGATTGACAGAAATTGCATCGCATGGGTGAGAACACTCATGCAATGCGATTCAGGTGCGGGTAAAAAAAAGGGTACTTCACGTTTTTGGTGCGGATGCGATGTGATTTGAGCCATACATTGTATGGCTCAAATCACGACCCAGGGACATCGCCTGTAATTCGCACAGGAATGCCGTACGATTCCTGTGTGAATTACATACAGTATCCTGCACCGCATTACTGTGAACCTGGTCTAAAGCACACTAAAGTCTATAACAGCAATATGAACAAACTTAATGGTCAGTTTAGTTCAGTCAAAAAAGGCAGCAGCAGGAAGGAAATGGCACCAATTTTGCAGCTTCACTATTACAGACAGGGAAGGTCCTACTTAAAGTGGAGAAAGGAAGAACAGTGCACCAACCTGGTGCAATAAAAGCTCCAGATTTATTAAAAACAAATGTAGATGTATATAGCCTTGTAATAGTCCCTAAGTGAGATGAGCATGCTCACTGTGGCCAGCTATGATGCTTACTGTGTGAAGGTCCATAGGTGTTTGGGGTAGGGGGGGCAGAGCATGTCTCTCTTCTCAGGATAGTGTAAAGCTGTGTCCTCATTATTCTGGAGCCTCAATGAAGCAGCACCCAACAATGTTATTTGTTTAGATATAGACTCTAGAAAGTGTAATTTTTGTCATAGTTGCCCATCACAATGTTTGGAGCTGTACATGTGCTCTCTCCAGAGCAAAGAGGATGCTGCTCTCTGCCATCCTGAGTTGATCTCTCCCTCCTAACATCATTGGGCTGTAATGCAGGAAGTCTCCTTCTGTGTCTGACCCCGGTGAAGTGGGCTCATCTCATTGAAATACAGGCCATATGCAAGTTCTGCTTTCATCAAAATGTGTTCATGAACTTTATAATAATATGTGGACATTTCTATTGCACTAGGTCGGTGTGCTCTCTTCCTTTTTTCACTTATTTTGCTTTTCACCTACAAGGGTCATGTTTTCCTTGCTTGATTGTTGTTTAATAGTTTCCTTTAACCACCTCCCGTCCGGCCGTTGTATATAAACGGCCGGATGGTGGCAGTGCAGGGTCGGGTGGCCGTTTTATAAACGGCCTCCCTGCCCCTTGCTTGTGCTTGCTTCCTGGGAGCGTGCAGCACCGCGATCTGGTGCCCGTTGTGTCCTCTGGACACAGTGGAACAACGATCGTCGTACGGGACCTCTCTGCGAGGTCCCGATCATGTGATCACTGATTGGCCAATCAGTGATCACATGTAGAGTAGTAAGCAAGATGTCACTTCTGACATCATTGCTTACTACGTGTGAAATCTGTGAATGAGCACAGAGGTCACATGGTACAAGGCTATCCACAACAGCCTTGTACTATGTGACAAGCTATGGCCAATCACAGCTCACACAGTAGTTCTCAGTGGCTGCAAGAATGCAGCCAGAGAGAAGGAGAAATTATTGCTTTTACAGCCTTTATGGGTGTAAAAGCAATCAGTGTAAAAAAAAAAAAAAAAAAATTCATCACCCCCTGCAAGTAGTACAGTGTCACCATGGTGACCTTGTACTGCTAGGGTGAAAGTAAAAAAAAAAAACATAAATAATAATATAAAAAAATAAAATAACAATGTAAACAAATGTTTTCAAAATTATAATTTTTGGTTATAAACTAATTTGGGTTTTTTTTTGTTCAAGATTTATGATGAAATGTGATTTATTTGCAAAAGTTTATAAGAAAAACACTCTTTTCAAAATTTTTGGGCTTTTTCATTTACATAGCAAAAAAAATAAAAATCCCAGTGGTGAATAAATACCACTAAAATATAGCTTTGTCTGTTTCAAAAAAATGCTAAAAAATTCACATGGGTACAGTGTTGCATGACCGCGCAATTGTCATTCAAAGTGTGATAGCACTGAAAACTGAAAATTGGCCTGGACAGGAAGGGGGTAAAAGTGTTCGGACAGGAAGTGGTTAAAAGTACATAATGTAATCATACGAAGGACTTTAAGGATAAAATGTAACAGCTTAGTCATTTTTCTTTTTCTTTTTTTTCCAAACTAATTTTTATGTATCTTATTTTATTTTTTTGTATTATTCATTTTCTTGAGATTTTCAATAACAATACAGAGAGTTCAGGTACTAACAGCAGATAGCTACAGTCAAGTAGATCAACATATCAAAAGTACACAGATTAGAAATGGTTAAATCATACATGATGTTGCTTAAAGCGGAGTTACACTCAAAAGCGGAAGCTCTGCTTATTTGCCTCCTCTCCCCCTCCACTGTCATATTTGGCACCTTTTGGGGGGGAGGGGTGAGCGGGTACCTGGTTTTGACAGGCTTTCCACATCAAAGCAGTAAAATAACTCAGAAAATGTGGTGGAGATCATAAACAAATGTATCGCCATACCTGCCACAATCTATAAATATGAAACATTTTTATAGAATAGTTAAAAATAAATAAAAATATATTTTTTTTCTTAGGAAACAACAAAACATTACACGTCTTTTGCAATGATAAAAATCAATGTGATTTGATCAAGTGACCTCAAAGCCTTTCTTTTCTTTGTTCAGGTGAGCCGTGGCCAAGAACATCCTCTTACACTGGACTGGGATCGAGTGCGGGTCTTCGACAGAGAGATTGCTCAGTTGTTCCTAAATATCACAAAGACAAGCAGGGAAGCTAAGGTACCTTTTTTATCAAGTTTAAAGCATACCTGAAATAAAAATATATACCTGAACTACTGCTAGCCCGCATAGCAGAAAACTCCTAGTGCCTGCAAGTTCCACCTTCTTCTGACTTTTAAAGATCACCCAGCCTTTTGAATTGAGCAGCAGCAGCACCCTACCCCCTTTGCCTCTCTAATATCAGTGGTCAGGGAAGCCAGTCATCACCATGCTGAGCGAACAGTAAGACTTAGAAACTTTGAAGGATTGGGTCAGACTATTGATCCAGAAAGCTAGGTCAAGATGCCAAGATGACCCGAGGTTCTAGAAAATGACAACCAAGATGTTGTGCAAGCACCTGAAGATACTTAAAATGTGCAAGCAGCAGTTTGCAGCAGGGCCCATTCACATCAGAAACTGAACGATTACTGCGCTTTTTTGTGTGCACGGTGCCATGCATTTGACTCAAAATTTTTATGCACATTTGCAGGTATTTGCAGTGCATTTTTCCTAAGCTTACATTTTCTGAAGTCACTTTCGTCTTCTTCTTTAGGCTTTAATGTGCATGGCACTACATTCTAGTACATTTACATACACTTCATAGTCCATAGGATAAGCTGGATTTTGGACTCTCTATGCAGTTGGTGTTGTCAAGAAAACATTCCACTACATCTGGTGTGAATGGGCCCTAAAAGGGCCTTACATTTCAATGTTTTGTAATTGAGCAGTTTGTTTCAATGAGACACAGTTACAATAAATAATTATTGGGCATCATAAAAATGAACTTCTTCCTGCTAGCCTCTTCTGTAGGTTGGCTGTACTTTGCAGTTTTTCCCAACAGAATAGCTGATCAAAGCATAATTTGGAATAAGATGGGGTTTAACAACAAGTAATAAAGCAGCACTTAGCAAATTTAAAGTCCTTGGCATCAGACATTTTTCAGATGTAAATAACTTTTACAGTTGGTTTAAAAAATTATGAGGTTGAATTTTGACATCATGTTCCATTAAGAACAGGTAAATGTTTGTTTTTGTGTCATGTATGACATAGCACTAGCAGTGTATGTTAGATTTACACAGCTAGGATAACTGAGAACCTTGTGTGCAAATATAAAAGATGAAGTTTCACCAAGTAAGTAGACACACAACATGTCAAACATTAAATGTGCATGCATCTGCGAAATAGCGAAAAAACATCAATACCTTATATTTTCCATATAGCGTTGCTTTAAAAGCCCCTGCAGGTCATCAGTTTAGCATTCAACATGAGCTCTGGTGCTAAAATCATTGCTCTCACTCTGGCGTGCACAGTGATATATAACTTGTGTAGCACAACTGCCTTTTTTTTATGTAAGCGCCCCTGCGTTTTTTTTTTAAGTGTTTATTTTTTTAAATTATGATTTTATTGCTATCGGGACCAATAGTTCCCTATGTAATAGCATAAAAGTGACAGGTCCACTTTGTGGGGGTGAAGGGTGGGGGGAGGTGCAAGAAGAGAGGCAGGAGTGGAGAAGAGCAGTGTTTTTTTTTTGTTTTTTTTTTGGTTTTATAGCACCAAGGAAGGAGCTGTCATTCGGCCCTTGCTAGTGATATCACATGGTGACCCCGCCCCTTTGTTTACTTCAGTGGTGGGGGCCGAATGACAGCTCCTTCTCGTTTCTATGACATAAAGGAGAAAAAAAAAAACCTGACAATGACAGTCAGCACCAGCATATGATGTAGCTTGTCTATACATACTGCCCCCTCACTGTATCTTCTCCTCTCCTGCCTTTCTCCACCCCCCTCCCTTGTCTGCAGTACACACAGCAGAATCCCTGCTGACAGCAGAGATCAGTCACTGGTTGTTAGGACGCTGGTGGGTGCCGGCTCCTAACAATTAATGCAAAAACTGGATCATCTACATCCGTTTATCCTCAGTTTCATTTTTTAATTAAACAATCATCTGTAAGCAGACGGATGAGAAACAGACATACAGAACGCCTGTGTAAAAGGGGCCATACTTCTTGCTATGTATATATAACTTATATATTATAATTAAAATATGCTGGATAATGCTATCAAATAAAATCAAAGTATATTTTAATATCTGCCTTTGTGTGTAATGTTCTTCTAAATTCAAATGCAGCCCAAAATCGATTTCGTTCTGTTACATGAATCTGCTGACATCAGCGCAGTATCAGTGGAAGGTTTATTTGGTTACCTTTTCGGCAGTATCAGTGGTAGTCAATAATAGGGAAACATTTGATTGTGCTTTGTCCATGCTATTATTAAATGTATTGAACACCCTCTGAATATCTTTGTTTTTCTGTCCTTAAAAGACTTAAAAAGTCTGATAAAATAGGCACTGCAATAACATTTCGGTGTTCTTTTGTAAACTCAGGCTCACCCAGTTACACTGAACATTTTGTGTTGTGTGTGTGCTGAAATGTATTCAGAATGAGTATTTTTGCCTGCAGGTGGAATCAGTCAGTAAGAAAGAGAAGGCTAAGCAGAGACCGCAGGCATTAAACACTGTGGAAATGTTGCGTGTGGCAAGTTCTGCATTGGGTATGTTGGAAAAATATTTGCTCTGTTGAGTGACTTTATACATACTGAATGACTTTCCAGATATACAACTAGCTGATCTAATAGTATTATAATTCAAAAAACAAAAAAGAGATATATCCTATAGTAACAAAAGCATCCAATCAAATAGCATTTTTTTTAAAGCAATATTAAACCCAAAAGCAATCATTTGTTATATTGCAGCTTACCAGTTCTTAGATGTGATGGCTGCATGTGTTTTCTTTTTAAAGTATAACTAAAGGTAAAACTTTTTTTTTTTATTTTGGATAGAGTGGAGAGGTACTAGAACATCTGTCACATTTGCATTGCTGTCTGTGCCCCTGTTAGGAAGATTCACCCTATTTGTCCTGTTTACCATTATCATTGAAAGTGAAAAAAAATCCCAAATTTTGGGTTGTCCCCAGAAAAGTAATAGAGGATAAATCTTCCAATGGGGACGCTAGTTCTGGTGACTTGGGGGTCCTCAAGGAATTCCCTTAATTTGCAGAGATTTCCTCTCACTTCCTGTTTGGCTATGGGACAGGAAGTGAAGGGAAATCATTGCAGTCAGACACAGATGATGAAAAAAAATCTGACTGAGTTATAACCCTCCCTTGCTCTATCCAAAATGAAAAAAAAAAGATTTGCCTATAGTTCTACTTTAAGGCTTTCTTTCTTATTGTTTCATCTAGTGATCCAGCCAGTAATTCTGTTGTTTTTCTCTTGCAGATGTGTCAGTTTACAGGGATGAGGAAAACCATTTAACACTGGCAGGGGTGCTTACAATGATCAGCTTTTATTTATTCTTGTAAAATCTTTATCCAAAAGGGGAAAAAACTGTTTGCTCTGATTATAAAGTGTAACCTGGCGTTTGGCTTCGGTTTATTAAGCTGGCCATAGATGGGTAGAATTTCAAATGAAAATTATTAGGAAAAGCATATTCTAAGAAATTTTTTTAAATTAATTTCTAACAGTGTATATAATTTCAGTGAAGTCCATTCATTCCAAAATCAAATGTTAAAAGCGAACAAAATCATTTATTACTACCCTCCCTGCCAGACTGGCAATGCTGCTGTCTGCTGTGCCCCCTTTGCTCATTCATCTAGAGTGGGAGCACTCTAATGCAGAGGAGGTGCATTACTGGCCAGATCACCAGATGAAAATAGAGGGAAAAAAGCCTTAAAAAAGAAAACTACTGCAGCCACCACATCTAAGGACTGGTAAGCTGCAATATACACTGCTCCAAAAATTAGAGGAACACTTTGAAAACACGTCAAAAAAGAAAAAGTTCCCAGCTCAACTTGCCAGTCAGCCTGCAAACAAACCAAATTAACCTGTCTAACAGTATGTGTTAAAAACGGGTTTAGTTAGCACACATTTGCAAATACATACGTAAGCTACAGAGCCACGTCACGGCACCCCAATATTCTGTAGTCCTAACTCTACAAATTCTGAGAGCCCCCATAGTAGAGGCACATGTATTTAAAGGATAGACCAAGGTCAGGTGAACCTGAGGGAGCCTTCCCCTCCTTAAAGGTACAGGAGCGCACCAGACACCCAGCATGTGGCACAATGGCTGCTAGAGTGTCCAGTGCTGGCAAGTTGAGCTGGGAACTTTTTCTTTTTTGACATGCGTCACCCGTCCATGTGTTCCTTGCTGTAAAGTTCAGTTATAGACTGGGGCAGTGCCCATTTTTTGTACTGTTGAATTGTTGGTGAGTGGGTGCACTGGAAATTATCAACCTACAGAGGACTTAATTCAAAGACACCCCGAAAATCATAGTGAAAAAATGATGCAGCAGGTTAGTCCATTTTGCTGAAATTTCATTGCAGCAAATCAAAATGGTACTCAGTAGTTTGTATGGCCCCCACGTGCTTGTATGCATGCCTGACACTGTCAGGGCATGCTCCTAATGAGATGACGGATGGTGTCCTGGGGTATTTCCTCCCAGATCTGGACCAGGGCATCACTGAGCTCCTGGACAGTGTGAGGTGCAACCTGGCGACGTCGGATGGTCCGAAACATGATATCCCAGAGGTGTTCTATTGGATTTAGATCAGGCGAGCGTGAGGGCAATTCAATGGTATCAATTCCATCATCCTCCAGGAACTGCCTGCATACTCTCGCCACATGAGGCCAGGCATTGTCGTGCACTTGGTGGAACCCAGGACCCACTGCATCTGCATAGGGTCTGACAATGGGTCCAAGGATTTCATCCCAATACCTAATGGCAGTCAGGGTGCCATTGTCTAGCCTATAGAGGTCTGTGCGTCCCCCAATAAATATGCCTCCCCAGACCATCACCGGTCCACCCCCAAAACGGTCATGCTGAACGATGTTACAGGCAGCATAACATTCTCCACGACTTTTCCAGACCCTTTCACGTCTGTTACATGTGCTCGGGCTAAACCTTCTCTCATCTGTGAAAAGCACAGGGCGCCAGTGGTGGACCTGCCAATTCTGGTGTTCAGTGGCAAATGCCAACTGAGCTCTATGGTGCCGGATAGTGAGTACAGGGCCCACTAGAGGACGTCGGGCCCTCAGGCCACCCTCATGAAGTCTGTTATTGATTTTAACTTTAACTTTTTAGAGAAGTGTATTACATTTTTGGTGTTGGGCTTAATACCACTTTAAAGGATAAGTTTACCTTTGGAACATGTTACATGTTCCACCAGTTTTTAAGGGGGAGCATGTAACATGTTCCCATAGCTGCAGCATTGCCCGCTGCCCCCCCCCCCCCCCTGACAGATAGTACGAGGAAAAGTTTCCCTGTACCATGTCAGATTTGAAAACAGCGGAGTTTTGCAGGGCTCCGTCCACATGGCTGCATCATTCATTCATGGACTTCCATGAATGAATGAACTGCAAGTCCCGGTAGCCTTAGTGGCTGTGGGCTTATAGTTTTCAATAACTACCACGGCACTGTGGAGCGCCGTGGCAGCACGTTGAAGCTTCCTGTCAGTATATCTGCTTGCGTACATCCCATACGGCAAGCAGAAATTCTGACAGGTCTACTGATCACTGGTGCAATGCTTTACAGGCTCCTTTGGACAATAATAATAAATGCACATTTTTTTACCTGCAAAAAAATGTGCATTTATTATTTTTGTTAAAAAGGTGAACTTAACCTTTAACATCCACTAGAAAAGTGGTAGCTCTACTTTTCTTTGTTGTCATTTGTAAAATTAAAGCAAATCTGACCACCTTTCTAAGTGATCAGCAAACTGCGCATCTCACATTTACATTCTGTTTCAGGAATGGGCCCACAGCATACTATGCAGATTGCAGAGCGATTGTACACACAGGGTTATATCAGCTATCCCCGAACAGAAACCACACATTATCCAGAGAACTTTGACCTAAAAGGAACACTGAAACAGCAGTCCAGCAATCCTTTTTGGGGTGATACGGTGAGCAGTGAACCTTCAGTTTTAAATTCATAGGGGTTGATTTATTAAAGTCAAACAGACTGTGCACTTTGCAAGTGAAGTTGTACTCATTGCTTAGTGAATGTAGTAAATCCCTGCTGATTTTCATCTTCCAATCGCGTACAAACAAAATTGCTGTTTTTGTTTTCCTTGCGCCTGATTGGGTATTCTTTACAAAGTGAGACTTCACCACATTCACAAAGCTCTGGGGAAAATGAATGCAACTGCACTTACAAAGTGCACAGTCTATTTCCTTTAGCAAATCAACCCTATGTTGTCAATGTTGTTGTGTTTGAGCAATATTTCTTACTTTGTGCAGAAAAATTAAAGTGAAAGTTCAGTCAAATGCTAACTATACTTAAACCTTTTCCCACCATATTCCTAGCCTATTGTAACTACCCTGTAAAGGGTAGATGTCTATACTTGCCTATTCTGGGGGTACTCCGGTCCGGTCACAGATCTCTCCATTGGCCGGCTTCAGTGAAGAGGAGAGATCATGGAAAATTATTGCAGAGGCTATGTGGTGATGCCAGTCATAGGCTTACTATGGGGCATCCAATGTCGGCTGTCCCATCTTCTCACAGAAGCAGGCTCTAGGAGCCTATCATGTGACCTGACTGGAGCGCCCACAGAATAGGTAAGCATAAGCATCTTTCTTTTACTAGTTACCGTATTTTTCGCTCCATAAGACGCACTTGACCATAGGACTCACCTAGGTTTTAGAGGCGTAAAACAAGAAAAAAATATTCTGAACCAATGGACTGCAGACACAGTACAGGAAATGACCAGAGACTGCAGACATCGTACAGGAGATGACCAGAGACTGCGGACAGTACAGGAGATGACGAGAGAATGCGGACACAGTACAGGAGATGACGAGAGACTGTGGACACAGTACAGGAGATGACCAGAGACTGCGGACACAGTACAGGAGATGACCAGAGACTGTGAACACAGTACAGGAGATGACCAGAGACTGCGGACACAGTACAGGAGATGACGAGAGACTGCGGACACAGTACAGGAGATGATCAGAGACTGCAGACACAGTACAGGAGATGACCAGAGACTGCAGACACAGTACAGGAGATGACCAGAGATTGCGGACAGTACAGGAGATGACCAGAGACTGCGGACAGTACAGGAGATGACCAGAGACTGCGGACAGTACAGGAGATGACCAGAGACTGCGGACAGTACAGGATATGACCAGAGACTGCGGACAGTACAGGAGATGACCAGAGACTGCGGACAGTACAGGAGATGACCAGAGACTGCGGACAGCATAGGGGATGACCAGAGACTGCGGACAGTATAGGGGATGACCAAGAGACTGCAGACAGTATAAGGGATTACCAGAGACTGCAGACAGTATAGGGGATGACCAGAGACTGCGGACAGTACAGGGGATGACCAGAGACTGCGGAAAGTGCAGGGGATGACCAGAGACTGCAGATAGTACAGGAGATGACCAGCGACTGCAGACAGTACAGGGGATGACCAAGAGACTGGGGAGGGAGCGGGTATCTGAATTTGACAGGTACCCGCTCCCGCGGAGTTGTCCTCCCTTTAGTGTGGGCACCCGGCTGACAGCCGGGTGCCCAGTGCGCATGCTCGAGAAGCGCTGCGCTTTGTGATTGGTCCGGCGTCTTCTGGGACCTGTCATGTGTACCAGAAGACGCCGTAACCATTCACAAAGCGCAAGCGCTTCTCGCGCATGCGCACTGGGCACCCGGCTGTCACAGCCGAGAGCCCACACTACAGATGCCGGCGCGGGAAGACTGTACAGCGCTGGACCGAGGAACAGGTAAGGTTCTGCTGCAGAGAAGAGACGAGCGGCCGGCCCGGTATTCTCACACGGCGGCGGCGGGAATACCGGACTGGCCGCTCCATATTCGCTCCATAAGACGCACTGACATTTCCCCCCCTTTTTTGGGGGGAAAAAAGTGCGTCTTATGGAGCAAAAAATACGGTAGTTAGAATAGACTTAGAATGGGGGTGGGAGCAGGTTTAAGTATAGGAAGAATTACCTTCCACTTTAATGTCATGTACACGTTTATGTTTTGTCATTTATTCATCAACTTTGTGTATTCTGAAGTTATCTCTAAGAGAACATACTCATTTATGTCTTTTTATAATCCAAAATGTAAGATAGCCTTCCTTATAGCTAAGCTTCTTTTGCATATTTAACAGAACTTTTTAAAGTTCTGCCACAGGTTTAGATATACTGCTTCTGGCTGCATCCTGTGACTTTAACATGTGTAGCAGTGTATTATCTTGACATTTCAGGTTAAAGCTTTATTGACCGATGGTATAAATCGTCCAAGGAAAGGAACTGATGCCGGAGATCACCCACCCATTACGCCCATGCGTTCAGCAACAGAGGCAGAACTTGGTACGTTCCGGAGTCCTCTTACAAACCATTACAGTAACTTATTTATGACTAAGGATCCTATTTATAAAGCAGCAGTGTTGGTTTGCCTTTGCCATTTCACGGTTAAAAAAAACCCCCTCACATTTATAAAACAGCTTTGTGCTGTACTAATGTGCTGCACTTTACTTGCTTTAGTTTTTCAAAGCAAGCAAAACCCCTTTATTTTAATTGAATAGAGAAAAAAATAGGTGGAAGAGAAGCCTGGTCACCTGTGCAAGTCAGACCAGAGACTGCGGACCCAGTACAGGAGATGACCAGAGACTGCAGACACAGTACAGGAGATGACCAGAGACTGCAGACATAGTACAGGAGATGACCAGAGACTGCGGACACAGTACAGGAGATGACCAGAGACTGTACCAGAGACCAGTGAAAAATAGGGTATTCAGACCAACCTCAGCCTGTGCAAAAAATGTTTTCTACAATACATTTGCAACATATTTAAAAGGTTGGTTCACCTTTACCAAAAAAAAAGAAAAAAGCTGCCTATGCTGGTAAGGGGGGGCACCTGTAGATTAAAATAAACTGCGCAGTGTTTACCAGAGTTAGATGATGCCTTTGCTGTAGGTGTAGGCCATTTATGTCTTGAAGTCTGGCAGAAAAACTCCTAGAGACGGCATCATCTCATTCTGCCTTGTTGCTAGAATGTTGCTTAGATCCTCCCAGTCATTACTGCTGGCCCCCACTATCACAGGAGCAAGCTCTCAAACCCCCACACAGTGTGGTCCACTATCTCCTCCATAACATCACATCACTGAGCTCCGATCTACTGCAACAAGTTGAAGAAAGATCATGTGAGGGGGTTTGAATTGGCTGGGAATGTCTTAGCAATGTTGTCCTAGGAACAAGGCAGAACGGGATGATGCCATCTTTGGATGTTTTATGGCCAGGTTTCCGGAGATACGTAAATGGCCTATGCCTATAGCAGGGTCATTATTTACTTATGTCAGAGCTGCACAGTTTGTTTTTAATCTACAGGTGCCCCTTATCTGAATAGGCAGTAAAGGTGAACTAATTTAAGGAAATGGCCATGCAAACAATGTTGGAAAATGCAGTTCTTCTGTTGAACCACAGATGAAATCCTGAAAAATTCCCTGAGCAAGTTTTTAAAGCTGAACAGGCAGCCAAATAGATAAACCGCTTAGATACATTTGTAATACCTCTGTTCAGCCATGAATTCAGATACTCTCACAGGTCTCTGACTTCAAGGTTAAGCAGTACAGCTTGGTCAAGGACCAGTCCTAGTTGCGATGAAGGTCAGTAAAGTGGGAGCAACACACTGCTGAGATCACTGTGCTTTCCACCTGTTGTGAGAATGTTTCTAGTGTAAACCTCACAGCAACATGCAATGAAATAAAACCTGATTGATTTAGAAAAGTCCCAACAGTTGCAACTCTTCTGGGAAGGCTGTCCACAAGGTTTAGGAGTGTGTCTATGGGAATGTTTGACCAATCTTCCAGAAGTGCATTTGTGAGGTCAGGTACGGATGTCAGACGAGAAGGCCTGGCTCACAGTCTCTGCTCTAATTCATCCCAAATATGTTCTGTCGAGTTGCAGGCCAGTCAAGTTCCTCCACCCCAAACTAGCTCATCCATGTCTTTATGGACCTTGCTTTGTGCATTGATGCGCAGTCATGTTGGAACAGAAAGGGGCCATCCCCAAACTGTTTCCACAAAGTTGGGAGCATGAAATTGTCCAAAATGTCTTGTGATGCTGACGCCTTAAGAGTTCCCTTCACTGAAACTAAGGAGCCAAGCCAAACCCCTGAAAAACAACCCCACACCATAATCCCCCTCCACCAAACTTTACCCTTGGCACAATGCAGTCAGGCAAGTACCATTCTCCTGGCAACCGCCAAAACCAGACACATCCATCAGATTGCCAGACAGAAAAGCCTGCTTCGTTACTCCAGGGAACATGCCTCCACTGCTCTATAGTCCTGTGGTGGTGGTGTGCTTTAATTCTTCATTCGACGGTTTGCACTGCACTTGGTGATGGAAGGCTTGGATGCAGCTGCTGAGCCATGGAAACCCATTTCATGAAGCTCTATACACACTGTTGTGATAATCTGAAGGCCACACCAAGTTTGGAGGTCTTTAGCTAGTGACTCGGCAGGCAGTTGGCGATTTCTGCACACTGTGCGCTTCAGCATGTGCTGACCCCGCTGTCATTTTACATGGCCTACCACATCGTGGCTGAGTTGCTGTTGTACCCAGTCGCTTCCACTTTGTTATAATACCACTAACAGTTGACCATGGAATATTTAGTAGCAAGGAAATTTCACGGATGGACTTATTGCACAGGTGGCAACCTATCATGGTACCAGGCTTGAATTCACTGAGCTCCTGAGAGCGACCCATTCTTTCACAAGTGTTTGTAGAAGCAGTCTGCATACCTAGGTACTTGATTATATTATACACCTGTGGCCATGGAGGTGATTGGAACACCTGAATCCAATGATTTGGAGGGGGTCCCAATACTTTTGGCAATATAGTGTATATTTAGTTTTATGGTGCTTTATTTCTGCATAAATAATAGTCATTTTCCATAACCACATTGCTGCCTAAACTGACCATACATTCTTGTTCCTTCCAAGGTGGTGATGCTTGGCGGCTGTATGAATATATAACACGACATTTCATTGCTACCATTAGTAACGACTGCAAATACCTTCAAACAGTGATTGTTTTTAGCGTTGGACGTGAGCAGTTCTCAACCACCTGCAAAGAGGTGATCTCTCTAGGTGAGTAAAAGGTGGAATAATGTAGATTGACTTGTAACTGTGACTTGAACCAACCATGAAAAAGAGCCCCAGTTTTAAGGAAGAGCATGATATTATTTTATGAAAAGCTGTTAAACGCATCCATCCAGGATGACTTTTTAAGTTTTTTTGTGTATGAGCAGCAGAATAAGGAAAGCTTATGTTGCATCACAGGAAAATAAAGCTTGACTTTGTGTCAGGGGGCACTCTGCAACATGTGCAGAACACCTCTGGCCAATCTCCGGAAGAACACATTTCCTGTGTAAGAATTTTGTTACCCAACGCATAAACAAGCATATCTGGTTGCTACAAACCTGCAGGTTTATGTCAGTCATTCTGGTTAGATCATCCAACCATGTCTTGCATTTGTGGGCAACTTTAGATATTTAAGAAAAAATAAGCAGGATGTAATCATTTAAATGGTGTTTGATAGTATACTATGACAGTGTGGCGACCTGTCACAGTGTAGAAAGGATATTTCACCTGGGATTCTCAACAAGGCAGGTTGAAGGGCTCCAGAGTACTTGTTTAATGCAGAGGAAACTGGCTTTTCACTTTCCTCATTTGGTTGTAAAGTCCATTTTGGGACCTGGAGCCTGGAGATTTCAAAGTGATTTGGGAGGGATGAAATCTCCAATCCTTGGATCAGGTTTGGGAATGGCCAGGAGACTGATTCGTTAGATGTGTGTAGGTCTCTTCTAGAGTCAGGACCAGGGTTCTGGGCTCCACTCTCCCGAAGAGTCCATGTGAGTGCAAGGGAGCAGCCACAAGTGTGCATGGTGGCACCGAGAGGAGCACTAGCAAATTGAGCACATATACAATGGATTGGGATAGTTGGGGTAAAAGGCTAGTCTTGTTGATAGATGAGGCTTTTATGCAAAAAAATAAGGTGGACACTGTTTCTGCTGTGCCTGCAGGGGGGTCTGTAGAACAACCTATAGATAAGGGTGAGCATACAGCAGAGACTTTTTCTGTGACCCACAAAAGTGATGTTGGCATGAAGTGTCCAAATGATGTCACTGGGAATGATTGGGCGCAGCTTATGGATGCTGAGTCTGAGAAGTTGAGAGTGAGCCCAGCCCCTGGCAGTTCTTTGGTGGAGCACCAGGCTGTGGTTACCTCCAGCTGGGAGGAGGGCCCTTAAGTTGCAACTTCTCAAGTCTCAGCAGGTGAGTCTCTCTGCATTCCCAGTATCATAAATATCTTCAGGAAGGACTTGGGTCTGGTGTCAAGTGGCTGGGTTGTGACAAAAGTATTAAAGGAGATGCTTGAACTTTGGGATGTACAGCCAATCTATACTGGGGTGTCTCTTCCACAGTCAGATGGTCTGGTACTGTGGAGTACCACTAGGTGGACCACCGAATGGCCAGTTGTACAGATCAAAGGGGAACAAGAAAGAAGTGGTTTATTTCTGAATTTGTTGATGGTGTTAAAAGTTGCCTCTGGGTACGTTGCTGGACTACTTCCTGTAAATATGATATATGAGAGAGGTTTTGGAGAAATGAAAAATGAGTCAAAAAAGGTTACACCTCCTAACAGCCAGGTGGGAAGCATTTCTGCTGCTATGGCCCAGGATGGTGCTGGTCAGTTGTCGGTGAAGGGTGTATTTACTGCACCAGTGTACAAACCACATGAGATGGAAGGGCCAAGCATGGACCAGAGAACAGCAGAGATCCTGACCAGGGCTCAAACGGATGTGCTTAAAGAAATTAGGATCACTGGGCCAAAAAGATGTTTATGTAACAGGTCTGATAGGACACTTGAAATACAGGGACAAATGGTATGTGAAAACTGGCAAAAATGGATCAGAAGAGCGCTCATCTGTTCAGGATTTGGATACAGATCCAGGTGGTGTAGGAAAAGTTAAAATGGTGGGACAGCCGCCTGCAGAGTACATGACACCAGGTGAAGTGGCATCTTGTGAGGTTCTCGTGGGTGATGGCTGCCCTATGGTGTGTGTGCCCTCTACAGACACTGTCCTAACAAATGCTGGAAAAGATATTGAGAGGTGTAATATTGACTGTTCGTGGTAAACTAAATACTGTGGGGATGAGTCATGCAGGTTTGATATCCAAAGGTACCAGAAATAAGAGGGTTGGTCCTGGTACAAATACAGTAGACATAGGTCCCTTACAGCCTTGGGATGGTAATACTGAGAGAGGTATCAGGAAACCTGGGAACCTGAAGTAAAGAAACAGAAAGGTCGAAAGAAAGACCAGGGGGACCCCGTTAAGATTTCAGGAGAGGAACTGTTTATGGAAGTGCACCCGGAAAAAGAGTGGGGAAGGTCTGATTAGAGCCCATAGCAGAGTGACAATGGTGCTTGGGGAGAGACACCAAAGTAGTCATTGAGTAGCGTTCCCCTTTAGGAAAAGTATGGTCAGACCGGATTGGACCCCTGTAAGTGAGAGCTGGCACAGAGGTGCCAGAAGCAGTAGGTCGTGTGTTTCACCCTCCAGGACGAAACAAATGGGGGGGGGGGGGGATATCTGACAGTGTGGCGACCTGTCACAGTGTAGAAAGGATATTGCACCCGGGATTCTCAACAAGGCAAATTGAGGGGCTCCAGGGTACTTGTTTAATGCAGAGGAAACTGGCTTTTCACTTTCCTCATTTAGTTGTAAAGTCCATTTTGGGACCTGGAGCCTGGAGATTTGGAAGGGATGAAATCTCCAATCCTCGGACCAGGTTTTGGGAATGGCCAGGAGACTGATTGGTCAGGTGTGTGTGGGTCTCTTCTAGATTCAGAACCAGGGTTCTGAGCTCCACCCTCCTGAGGAGTCCATGTGGGTGCTAGAGAGCAGCCATAAGTGTGCATGGTGGCACAGTATAGTCTGACAGAGCAGACAGGGCTCAAGCCTGTGGGCTGGAGAAACAGGAGTGCTGGGAAAGAGCACTAACCCAGGTGCAGTGTGTTGCACGTGAATGTTCAAGAGGATCGAGGCATGAAGCCTGAGCAGCAGTGCTGCTAAAGAGAGCCAGGAGGCTGAATCTTTGTTTTCGTTTGCATTGATGGTGGACACCCCTGCGTGGGAAACCTATGTTGTATGGAACTTTCTTTTAAATAAAATTGGGCAAAAATGGCCTTTAAAAATAAGGAAGTGAGTGACTGTGTGCTTCAAAAGCTCTACCCTTGGTGCTAGTTCCCACAATACCTGAAATAAATGTTAGTAGAGCTTTATAACAGATAGCAGGACTTGTTTTGTATGTGATGTACCGAGTCTAACAGGGGTACCTCATAAAATTGAAAGTGCTACTTGATACTGCTCACTGCTACTCAGACTGTCACTGACAGCTTTGGTCCCCAATAATGATCAGGAACCAATTAGACATGTGATCTCTATGTCAAATATGACAGAGTGGTCACATGCAAGTTCGGAAACTTTAAAAAAAAAAAAATAGCATACAGATGCATCTGGAACTCTGTCCTGTACTGACATTGTAAAGTACAAATAGAGTACAAATATATAAACATATATGTATATTCAGTAGATAAAACTGTGTTCCATACAACATACAAACAATGCTATTATTGGCCTTGGCTTCTAGGCTTTAATAACTTTTAGTGATATTTAAATCTTAATTTAATTTTTACAATTTAGGATCCTGATGGTAAGACATACACTGTTTGTTGCTTCTTCTGTTGTTCATATTTGTCTTTTCACTCGATTCACCCAGTCCTTTGATCACTGGCTCCACTTTCCACTGTAAGGGTGGCTCCTTGGCTTGCAGGGTCCTATGGAACCCCACCATAGACACCTTTTCGTGGGTGTTTACAGACTATGCACAGGCATACCAGAGAAACAACATCATAATGGGGCATGCATGCATGAGGGCACTAGGAATGGTGGGCTGTAGTCCCAAGAAGGGTAATCAGGAATCAAGAGATTTTTATTACATTCAGAGCGCACTTTCCCCGACCAGAAGTTTGGTTTAGTTAGTAATGCTGGTCAGTGCCTATTTTCTTTATCATACATTGCAGGACACAGGGTATCTTCATATCCATTATGACATGGTTATGCTGCCACCCTCAGGTGATTGGACATTGGCAAAAAAAGAGGGCTAATCCCTTCCCAGGCATAACTCCTCCCTGCTAGTCACAGACTCAGTTTTTTGTTAGTGTCTTAGGTGATGGTCACGTTGGTACAGTCTGAACAAAAATTGTTTACAGCTCATCTTGTCAGGATTTCCTGATGAGAACAGGAGACTGCTTACATTCCAATCTATTGCCTACAGCTTTTAGTCCAGAGGCATATGTATCTGGACCCCGTGTTGAACGTGCAGCACAGTGTTGACTTTGGAAAGGTTCAGGTGGATCCTGAACCTCCAAAAATCGGTCTTAGTCTTCACCCTAATACTGTTCTTGGACACAGATCGGTCACATCAAAGGTGATTCTGCCCCCGGAGAAATGCTTTTCGCTGTGAACTCCCTGCTAGCTTCGCCATGACCCTTGATACGTTTCCGCATGAGACTTCTGAGGAAAATGATTGCTTCTTCCAGTCAGTGCTCTCTGCCCAGTTTCATTCCAGGATTCTTCAACTAAATGTCTTGTCATTGTGGAACAGGAGAATGCAATAACTGGATTCTCTGATGTGCCTGCACCTAAGACAAGGTGGACCTTGGGCTGGTGGATCTCCACACTTGCCTGGAAAGTCCTGATGACTGATACCAGTCTGGCCAGCTGGGGCAGAGTCATGGAGAACCTCTCAGTTCAGGGAACGTGGTCATCAGGAGAAGAGGTTGCGTATCAACATCCTGGAACTGAGGGTGATTCAGTAGTCCCTTCTGCATTGATAAAATGGTAAACGAGCGCTAGAGCCACTTTTTGAGCCACTAAGGTGGATCCCTTTAAGTGCTTATCATTGGGTGCGTAGGAGTGAAATGGAATCTTCCCTATGATCCGGAGAGTGTTAGTGGAGAAGAGGCTGTGGGCAGTCGCTTTTACCAGATGTACCCCGTTTGACCCCAGATGGACCAGGAGTGGTCTTGATTACTCAAAAGCGCTATAATTTGCGCTATCTTGTTAGTGCAACTTACCCCCCTTTTTCCACATGCACCTGACGCACGGATCTGCACTTTTTTGGAGTTTTATATTGTCACTGATACACTGTGTTGCCCCTTCCAGCGCAACCTTGCACCTTTATGTGACACTTCTTAATATTTTAATATTTAAATTATTTTCATTTATTCTCATACTGGACTGAGCATCAGCTCAACTCACATGCGTTTATAAATGCCTTATTATCTGTGTTATATTTATTTATATATGTTTGATGTAGTAGAATTTTATCCATTTGTGCGCTGCATTTTTTAATATTTAGTCCCTTCTGCATTGGTTGCAGCTCCTCAGGGACCTTCTGGTGAGAATACATTTGGGCAATGCCATGACGGTGGTGTATATCATTTTTGAGAAAGCGTATTTTCTCTTCAGACAGTGTCTGAATTTTGGGGAGTGGGCTCCTCACCCAGAGGTGCTTGAAGCATTCTGCAAGCAATGGGGAACTCCAGATGTAGACCTTCTAGCATCTCAGGTCAGGATAAAACTGGACAGATTTGTATCCAGGACCAAGGACCCACAGATATTCATGTTAGATTCCCTGGTGACAACGCGGAACAGATTTTCCTTGGTTTATGCCTTCCCGCTGTTGCAGCTTCTACCCAGACTGCTTCACAGGATACAGTTGGAGGGGATTCTGCTGATCCTGGGCATTCCAGCCTGGCCCAGGATAATGTGGTGTTGCGACTTTGTAACCTTGTCCATGGGTGAACTGTGGACTTTTCTGGACCTCCATGACCTCCTATTGCAGGGTCCAGTACTCCTTCCTGCTTTACAGTTGCTGGCATTAATGGCTGGTAGTTGAGGGTCAGGGTCTTGTGAAATAGGGTTTTTCTCCATAGGGTTAGATTCTGTCTTTCCCTCCCTCCTCAAAGCTAGAAATGCTCCTTTACAGAAGATCTATCATTGGATTTGGAAGTCATACTTTACCTGGTGTAAGGCTCAGAAGCCCCTTTAGAAACGTTGTGGGATTTGTCTTTGGCGATTCACAGATCTGTAGTGGAAAAAGTCAGATTTCAACTTTGTTGATTTTTTTTCAGCGACCACTTGCTTCTCATTTCCTAGTATGCATTGTTCCACCACTTAGTGTTGAGGAAGTTGAAGGACCTCAACTTAGTACTTTCCGGTGTTACGGAAATCTCCATTTGAGCCCATTCCAAATGTTCCCCTTGTGCTTTTCAGTAGAATGGTCGTGGTAGAATTGTATTTTTGTTTGTCACTACTCCAGCTTGTTGAGTTCCAGAGTTGGTGGCTTTTGACTGTAAAGAACCATTCCAGGTCATTCATTAGGCTAAGGTGTTTTTTTTTTTTTACCTCCGTCATCTTTTTTCCTAAATTGTTTTCTTCTTCTCATCTCAACCAGTATATTGTGTTCAGAAGGAGGAAATCCAGACAGCCACACATTGGCAACCCCTTTGTTGAAAAATATTCATGGAATGTCCATAAAAACTAAGTCCAATCAATACACAGTGGAGGGGTAAGAGACCAGCAACACATTTTATGCTTTCTAGAGCTTATTCATAAATAAGTTCTTGTAAGTGTGAAACGCGTTAGTGGTCTCTTACCCCTCCACTGTGTATTTGTTGGTCTTTGTTTTTATGGGCTTTCCATGGATATTTTTCAACAAAGAGGATGCCAATGTGGGGCTGTCTAGATTTTCCCCTTCTCATATATCAAATTATGAGCTGGGCCAGCACCTTTGTTGTGCAATTGTGGCAGATTCAGGAGGAATGAAGAGCCAAAGACAGGTCAGGCAGTTTCCAATCTACCATCTCTAAGTGGTTCCACAGCTTGTTTCTCAGGCTTATGGCCTTAAGGGAAGGGATCCGCCATTTCATGTCACAGCTTATTCTACCGGGAGTATTGGCACTTCTTGGGCATTTCAACATAAGGCTTCTGTTGCTCACGTTTGTAAGGCTGCTACCTGGTCTTCAGTTAACACCTTTACTAAGTACTTCCAGGTTGATGTTTGGGCTGCTGTAGATGCAGCCTTCAAGCTGAGTGTCTTGCAGGCGGCTTTGTGAGGTTCTAACCCATGTTGTTGTGTTGTCGTGTTGCTCTTCCCTCATATTGAGTGCTTTTGGACATCCTTATCTTAACGAATATGTGATTAACGATAGAGAAAAATGGATATTTGGTTTACCTGTAAATTCCTTTTCTTGAAGTACATCACAGGACAGAGGGACCCCGCCCTTCTTTGATTGTCCCAAGACTTGGTATTTACTGCCTTTTTTTTTTGCCAGGGTCCAAAGACGAAACATGAGCATTGCCATTGCTGACCCTCCCTCTGAAAATGCTGGTTACTTGGTTATTATGCTGACTCATTGGCTTATGGCCTTTTTAAGTTCCTAATCTCCTATGCAGATCAGGAAAAGGAGAAATAAAAAACAACAAATCTTCATAATTGTTGTGTGTTAAAGTAATGAAGCAAATATGAAATTGCCAAATACAGCGCTGTTACAACCCACATTATTTTTACCGTAATGTAATATATCAAAATATATATATTCACTTAAATATAATGTGCTTTCCATTTAAAATAACAGTACAGTTTCACATTGGTTATGTTACAGGATACACAGAGATCATGCCATGGCAAGGCATCCCCCTGGAGGAAAGTTTTCAGTCCTGTGAAAGAGGTGAAAAGTTTAGTGTAGAAGAGGTGAAGTTGGTGGAGAAACAAACATGTCCTCCAGATTACTTAACAGAGGCAGAGCTCATCTCCCTGATGGAAAAGCATGGTATTGGTAAGTGATACAGAATAAATGTAAGTCTCCTTGCTCATCGGTACATTTTTAAAGCAATCAATTGAGCTACCTAGAAACAATTCCTGAGGGAATCTATTCCACATTTTCACAGTCCTTACTGTGAAAAAGCCTTTCTGTATATGGAGATTAAACTTCTATTTCTTCACTCGCAAAGAGTGCCCTTTTATCCTTTGTAATGATCCTAAAGTGAAAAAACTTTAGGATCCAAATAGACTATATGTGCCTTTTATGTATTTATACAGGGCAAACACATTTCCCTTTAATTATCCCTTCTCAAGGGAGAATAAATTCAGTTTAGCTACTGTTTGCATAACTGATGCCCTAGATGCCTTTTATCAGTTTGGTTGCCCTTCTATGCACTCTCTCCAGTTCTCAAAGATCCCTTTTGTGAACTGGTGCCCAAAATGGGACTGCCTATTACAGACGAGGTCTTACTAATGCTTTGTACAAGGGACAAGATTATGTCTGTTCTATCTGTTACTGGAGTCTATACCTCCTTTAACCACTTCCAGACCGGACACTTTTACCCCCTTCCTGACCAGGGCAATTTTCAGCTTTTAGCGCTATCACACTTTGAATGACAATTGCGCGGTCATGCAACACTGTACCCAAATGAATTTTTTACCATTTTTTTGAGATAGATAAAGCTTTATTTTGGTGGTATTTATTCACCACTGGGATTTGTATTTTTTTTGCTATGTAAATGAAATGTCCAAAAATTTTGAAAAAAAGTGTTTTTTTTTATAAAATTTTGCAAATAAATAATATTTCATCATAAATCTTAGCCAAAATTTATGGCCAATCAGTGATCACATGATCGGGACCTCGTACAGAGGTCCCGTCCGACGATCGGTGTTTCACTGTGTCCGGAGGACACAGCGGGCACCGGATCGCGGTGCTGCTGCGCGCTCCCAGGGAACGCGCACAAGCAGGGTGCGGGGAGGCCGTTTATAGACGGCCACCCGACCCTGCAGTGCCACCGTCCGGCCGTTTATATACAACGGCCGGTCGGGAAGTGGTTAATTGAAGAAAGTATTTTGCTTGCTTTGAAACTGCAGCTTGGCAATACATGTGGTTACTAAGTCTGTGAACTACCAGAACCCCCAGATACTTAGTTATTGACTCTGCCAGTTATACTCCCACTAAAGTGTATGGTGCATGGATGTTTTTAGCCCTCAAGTGCATAACTTTACATTTATCATCATTAAAGTGTATCTAAACCCCAAACCAAAAAATGTAGTGTAATGTTACAAGTTACTAGTCTCTGGTGTAGTGGTTAAAAGTATTTTCGTTTCTAAGCTTCTTTTGCTTTATTTTCACCTGGAAATCCTGCAAATAACACACTTCCTGTCTTTAGGTGGCTACAACATTTTTCCACTGTATCTATAGAGAGAGCCACGTTTGTCATCTTGGGCTGCTCTCCTGATATGGACTTCAAACATGTTCGTATCTCCATTACATGGGGGCAGAGCAATTGGTAGTTTACAGATGACCGCTAGGAAGAATTTTTTCCTATGCAGCTCAGAGGAAATGAAAAAGGACAGTTTGCGTTTAAGAAATGGCTGCACAAATATTGTGCGACAAAACAATTGCAACAACAGGCAGGGAATTTCTGAACCTATTCTATGACTAAAAAAAAGCTGTGTATTTGGGTGGGTGTGTGTGTATATATACACCTGCACATGAACTTTAATGGCATCCCAGTCTTAGTCCGTAGGGTTTAATATTGAGTTGACCCACCCTTTGCAGCTATAACAGCTTCAACTCTTCTGGGAAGGCTGTCCACAAGGTTTAGGAGTGTGTCTATGGGAATGTTTGACCATTCTTCTAGAAGCACATTTGTGAGGTCAGACACTGATGCCGGACAAGAAGGCTTGGCTGGCATTCTCCTCTCTAATTCATCCTAAAGGTGTTCTGTCGGGTTGAGGTCAGGACTCTGTGCAGGGCAGTCAGGTTCCTCCACCCCAAACTCGCTCATCCATGTCTTTATAGACGATGTTTTGTGCACTGGTGTGCAGTCATGTTGGAACAGGAAGAGGCCATCCCCAAACTGTTCCCACAAAGTTGGGAGCATGAAATTGTGCAGAATGTCTTGGTATGTTGACGCCTTAGGAGTTCTCTTCACTGGAACTAAGGGACCAAGCCCAACCCCTGAAAAACAACCCTGCACCATAATCCTCCTCCACCAAACTTTACACTTGGCACAATGCAGTCAGGCAAGTACCGTTCTCCTGGCAACCGCCAAATCCAGACAGTTCTATCAGATTGCCAGACAGAAAAGTGTGATAAATGCATATACTGGCTAGTAACATTTTTAAAGTGGTTCTAACCGCTTAAGGTTTTTTACCTTTATGCATTCTATGCATGAAAGTAGAAAAACCTTCTGTGTGCAGCACAGATACAGCCAATACACCCAATACAGCCATGTCAAGCACATCCAGTAAGCCAATGAGGAAAGAGAGGGGGCTGTGCCGAGTTGCAGCTCTGTGTGTGAATGAACACATAGAGCAGCAGCTCGGGAGCGAGCCTATTTTGGTGCCCTCATAGGAAGCTGCTTGCTGCGGAGGCACTAGGCAGGAGTGAGGGAGGGTCCAGAAGTGTCAGCGGAGGACCCCGGAAGAGAAGGATCGGGGCTGCTCTGCACAAAACCACTGCACATAGCAGGTGAGTATATGATGTGTTTGTTCTAAAAAAAAAACAAAACATTGCCTTTTAATCGCTTCCCTTCCACCCTATAGCAGATATCCCCCCAGTGTCAGAATGCCCCGCCGCAGTCCCGCTATAAGTCGCTGACATTGTACAGTAAGGTTCTGTTCACACCCATGGGTGAATTGTATTACATGCCATTACATGTTGCACTACCATCCACACAGCAAGCAACTCACGTGACCTTCAGCATACTGCAGCACATAAACCATTAAATACCTGTTTTACTTGGGGGGGGTCATGTGCATACTTTGTTGCGTGGACATGCATTGAGGACTTATAATAAAGCAGTGTTACAATTTGTGAACATACTTGAAGGTGGTTAAGGATTGCACCCATGGTTACAATAAGTAACATTTAATTAAATATACAATGTACTCTTCAGGTACGGATGCCAGTATACCTGTGCACATTAATAATGTCTGCCAACGAAACTATGTAACAGTGGAGAGTGGACGCAGACTAAAGCCTACCAGTTTGGGTATTGTGTTGGTACATGGCTACTATAAGATAGGTGAGTACATACAGTATCAGTAAAATGAATGTTAAGTCTGGTGCTGGAAAAGAAGTTCCATTACTGTAGTAGTGGTTTTGGATTTTGTCTCCCATTGGATTTTTACTATTGTCTCTGATACTGTTCAGAGACTTCCACTTAGTGTAAGTGTTCAGAAGGGTTAATGTTATCACTGCCATTTCTCCATGGAAAGTGCTTTCAGGGCCCTCTAGTGGATTGCCTGTTGGAACATTTGATCGTTTATTGACATTGTTTAAAGTGGAACTTTACCCTCTCAGTAAACATTGATTTATTTTTAATCCTTATGCTGATAGCATTAGTAAATAGATAGGAAAGTATGTCATATTTACTTGTTTTAAAACTTTTTATTAAGCATTTCTTCAATTACTTCCTGGTTGCCATACTTAGGCAAATTATGTCATCCATCCCAGTAGTCTTCAGGAGGGTAGGAGTGGTTTTCTCAGCTAAGCACACCTCCCTGCCTGCAGGCCTGAGCTAAGTGCTTGAACTCATACATGAAATCAGAAGCCTTCTTTGTCCTCCCTAACACATCTTGAAGGATGTTTAAAGTGGAACTTCACACTCCCAATCATTGAATAATTGTAATCCTTATGCTGCTAGCATTAGTAAATAGGAAAGTATACCATATTTACTTGTTTTAAACTTTTTTTTTAACATTAATTACTTCTTGGTTTCCTGCTGAGGCAAATGATGTGATACATCCCAGCAGTCTTCCGAAGGGGAGGGATGGTTCTCAGCTCAGCCAATGCCTGAGCTTAGGGCAGATGGATTCCAGGAAGTAAATGCTACATTATTCATCTGCCCTTAATCAAGATGTCCACAGCCAGAAATGCTAGAGAGTGTTTTTTAAAGTGATTTCTTAGCAAAATAAAGCAAGGAGACATGGAGAGATGGGCAAGTTTGCTTTGAATATTAAACATTAATGAAATGGTGTTTTTGGTTTGCGGTGCTCAGATGCAGTGAAGTTTCCTTTTTAACCTCCCTGGCGGTATTCCCGAGTGTAGCTCGGGGTAAAGTTTCAGTACCACAAGTGGTAACTCCGAGCTACACTCGGGCTTACAACGCGGCGCAGCTCCGGCATCTGTTCATCACTTATCTTGTCCTGTGCTCCAGCGATGTCCCTCCTGCAGTGTCCCCGGCAATGTAATCCGGCGGATGCCGGCATCTGTCATCTGGGTTCCGTCCCCTGCAAGCGTCGGGACGTACGGGGGACGGAACGGCGGGAAATTTGAAAATGACAAAAAGTGACATTCACTAAATACACTAAAATCACATAGTAAAACATTACTGTATCAAACCATTTCACATACATTTTGTCCCTAGTGCTTTGTCCTGTGCCCTGCCTGCATTTTTACTGTTCTTTCTGCCTGGAAACTGAGAAACGTCCATGGCGTCCAAAAAGCGTCCCTTTAGGTCAAAATTGGTTTTAGATCAGCTAGAGAACAGCGATAGTAAATTAGAACCACTTGTAGAATTGAGTGATAATGATTCGTGGGGAAATTCGTCATCAGACACTGAAAACGATTTTGCGACTTTGCTCAGTGATGTGCGAACTTGGCGCTATATTTCAAATTTCAGTGTTTTTGGTTTGATTATATTATTAAATTACATTTTTTATTATTATTATATTATTATTTTTTATGATTATTTATTAAATTATAATTTATGATTTTGTGTTTCAAATTTTATCATACCCGGGATGTTTACTAGACTCTTGTTCAGACAGATTTCAGTGAGTTATTCCTAAAAATTACAGGCCTACAATAAAAAAAAAATACATATTTCCATGCAAAAAAATGTACCGCTTTGAGCACAGAAATATGGACATATTCAGACCTCTAGGGAGGTTAAAGTGTATGTTATCCCATCATTTCATATTCCTATGTGTCTGTGTATGAAAAAGTATCCTGTTCTCTTCGTATTTCTTCCTTTATGTGAAATCCATGGTGATCCTGCCAGTCCCTCTGCTTTCCTATTTCAAATTGACTGCACTAGGCATAGAAGCACATCCTTCCCAGCGTGGTCTGTTTTCTGGTCGTGCTGGAAGTACAGACTGCCTGTCCTCCAATGGTCAGACTTGTGCTGACACTCCCCTCCTGCACAGCTAACCACTGGAAGATCAGTGTATTGCTGTTTCCCTGCCTCCTGCTGACGTGTCCACCTGCAGTCTCCACACTCACCTCTCTAAGCCCCTTATGCAGCTGAAAACAGAGGTCATGTGATCACTTATTACAAAACAAGAGAAAAAAAAGGATATTTACAATATATACATACATACATACAGTGGGGATGAAAGTTTGGGCACCCCAGCTAGAAATTTGTATTAATGTGCATAAAGAAGCCAAGGAAAGATGGAAAAATCTCCAAAATGCATCAAATTACAGATTAGACATTCTTATAATATGTCAACAAAAGTTAGATTTTATTTCCATCATTTACACTTTCAAAATAACAGAAAACCAAAAAATGGCGTCTGCAAAAGTTTGGGCACCCTGCAGAGTTAATATCTTGTACTGCCCCCTTTGGCAAGTATCACAGCTTGTAAACGCTTTTTGTAGCCAGCCAAGAGTCTTTCAATTCTTGTTTGAGGTATCTTTGCCCATTCTTCCTTACAAAAGTCTTCCAGTTCTTTGAGATTTCTGGGCTGTCTGTCACGCACTGCTCTTTTAAGGTCTATCCATAGATTTTCAATTATGTTGAGGTCAGGAGATTGTGAAGGCTATGGCAAAACCTTCACTTTACGCCTCTTGATATAATCCCCCGTGGATTTCGAGGTGTGTTTAGGATCATTCTCCATTTGTAGAAGCCATCCTCTCTTTAACTTCAGCTTTTTCACAGATGGCATCAAGTTACCATCCAAAATTTGCTAAAATTTTATTGAATCCATTGTTCCTTCTACTCGTGAGATGTTCCCTGTGCCACTGGCTGCAACACAACCCCAAAGCATGATTGATCCAACCCCATGCTTAACAGTTGGACAGAGGTTCTTTTCATTAAATTCTGTGCCCCTTCTTCTCCAAACGTACCTTTGCTCATTCCGGACAAAAAGTTCAATTTTAACCTCATCGGTCCACAGAACTTGTTTCCAAAATGCATCAGGCTTGTCTATATGTTCATTTGCAAAGTTCAAACAATGATTTTTGTGGTGAGGACGTAGAAGAGGTTTTCTTCTGATGACTCTTCCATGAAGACCATATTTGTACAAGTATCTCTTTACAGTGGAATAGTGTACCACAACTCCAGTGTCTGCCAGATCTTTCTGGAGGGATTGTGCAGTCAAACGTGGGTTTTGAATTGTTTTTCTCACAATCCTGCGAGCTGTTCTGTCTGATATTTTTCTTGGTCTTCCAGATCTTGCTTTAACTTCCACTGTTCCTGATGACTGCCATTTCTTAATTACATTCCGAACAGAGGATATTGACATCTGAAAACGCTTTGCTATCTTCTTATAGCCTTCTCCAGCTTTGTGAGCGTCAACTATTTTCAGTTTCAGTTTTCTAGACAACTGCTTAGAAGAACCCATGGTGCTGATTGTTGGGGCAAGGTCAGATGAGTCTGGGCATTTAAAACCTTTGAGATTGACATAACCTGGTCTTCCCAGACAATGATTGAGAACAATCCATGACACTGGCAGGTCTCAGCTTTGCAAAGGGGGCAGTGCATGCTATAAATTCTGCAGGGTGCCCAAACTTTTGCAGACGCCATTTTTTTGTTTTCTGTTATTTGAAAGTGTAAATGATGGAAATAAAATCTAACTTTTGTTGACATATTATAAGAATGTCTAATCTGTAATTCGATGCCTTTTGGAGATTTTTCCATCTTTGCTTGGCTTCTTTATGCACATTAATACAAATTTTTAGCTGGGGTGCCCAAACGTTCGATCCCCACTGTACATACAGTTAGGTCCATATATGGACCAAAAACATATTCAAGCTATAGTTATATAATGGATATGGGCTGAAAGTACACACTCTTAGGTTACAGTTAAGGTTATGTACATCCAAATTGGAGAAGGGTTTAGGAATTACAGCTCTTAAGGGTAGCCACTCCCCCCCCCCCCCTTTTTCAAGGGACCAAAAGTAATTGGATAATTGATTCAAAAGCTGTTTCATGGCCAGGGGTGGGCTACTCCTATTTCTTCATCAATTAAGCAGGAAAAAGGTCAGGAGTTGATTCTAAGTGTGGTATTTGCATTTGGAATCTATTGCTGTAAACCTACATCATGCGTTCAGACAAGCTGTCCATGCAAGTGAAACAAGCCATTGTAAGGCTTCAAAAATGAATCAAATCCATCAGAGACAGCAGCAACATTAGGAGTGGCCAAATCAACAGTTTGGTACATTCTGAAGAAAGAAGAACGCACTGGTGAGCTCAGCAACATAAAGAGGCATGGACGTCCACGGAAGACAACAGTGGTGGATGATTGCGGGATCCTTTCTATGGAAAAGAAAAACCCATTCATAACATCCAGACAAGTGAAGGACACTCGCCAGGAGGTGGGCGTATCATTGTCATAGTCTACAATCAAGAGAAGACTTCAAGAGAGCAACTACAGAGGGTTCACCACAAGGTGCAAAACATTCATAAGTCTGAAGAATAGAAAAGCCAGATTAGACTTTGTCAAAAAACATCTAAAAAGCCGGAAAAAAGTGTGGAGAAGGCTTGGAACAGTTCATGAGCCATAGCATACAACATCATCTGTAAAACATGGTGGAGGCAGTGTGATGGTATGGGCATGCATGGCTTCCAGTGGCACTGGGTTATTGGTGATTATTGATGATGTGACAGAAGACAGAAGCAGCCGGATGAATTCTGCAGTGTTTAGAGATATACTATCAGCCCAGATTCAGCCAAATGCAGCAAAGTTGATTGGATGGCGCTTCACAGTACAGATAGACAATGATCCAAAACACACTGCAAAAGCAACCCAGGAGCTTTTGAAGGAAAAGAAGTGGAATATTCTGCAATGACCAAGTCAATAATCTGATCTCAACCCAATTGAGCATGCATTTCTCTTGCTGAAGGCAAAACTAAAGGCAGAAAGACCCACAAACAAAGAACAACTGAAGACAGCTGCAGTTAGAGCCTGGCAAAGCATCAGAAAGGAGGAAACCCAGTCTTTGGTAATGTCCATGGGTTCCAGACTTCAGGCAGTCATTGCCAGTAAAGGATTCTCAACAAAATATTAAAACTGAACTTTTATTTATGATTATATTCAATTGTCCAATTACTTTTGGTCCCTTGAAAAAGAGGGGATGGCTACTCTTAAGAGCTGTAATTCCTAAACCCTAACTCCAATTTGGATGTAGATACCCTCAAATTAAACCCGAGAGTGCGCACTTTCAGCCCATATCCATTATATAACTCTAGATTGAATATGTTTTGGTAAATACCTAAAAATAACTAAAATTGTGCCTGTGTCCAAAATATATATGGACCTAACTGTATATGTATACATACACACACATGCACAAATCGACCATGAGAATTAACATTCACCAATAAAGAAAATCGCCTAACCCTCCCCAGTGTTCTAACAACCAGTGACACAATGTTGAGACTTTGCAAAGCAAATTTCCTCTACATAGACCTCTTAGTGTCCATGATCACCAGGACAAATAAAGGGGAGACTTTCGCAAACCGGGACATGGACAGCAATAAAAATTTAAAACAAAGCAGTGCATTGGATAGCCATGCATGGAAGAAGCATTTGCACATAGTAATACTTGTTATTGCCAGGCATTTCAACAGGTTGCTTGTATGGACAGGCCTTGAGGTTATAAGTATGAGTGCACCTTTATTAGAAACAATATTATTTGTACTCGACTCTGAATAATACAATGCTTTCATTTAGAACAACGCTTGTCTAAATGTTGTGTTTACTTACATCTTACTTTTAGACCCAGAGCTGGTTTTACCAACTATCCGGAGTGCAGTAGAGAAACAGCTAAATCTAATCGCACTGGGAAAAGTTAATTACCATTTGGTCTTGGAGCACACTTTGGACATCTTCAAGAGGAAGTTTCATTATTTTGTGGACTCCATAGCAGGTCAAATCTCAGAACCGCTTTTCTTTTTCTTACTACAACCTTTAGAGATTGACACATACGTCTCATTCTTTTTTTCTATGATCCTGGTTTATCACGTTTTATAGTGACACATTTCCTGTTTTCAGGTTACAACACTTTCTGTACTATATATGGAGCAGCAGTGATGTTACTCTGGGCCAGGACTACAAAACATATCCCATGCTCCTCTTCTCCATAACAGAAAGAGGGGAGGTATTATGTACTCCACAGAGAGAATTGGCAACAATGCTAACTGATAACAGTCAGCAGAGGTAGAGAGCACAGAAAGTTATTTGCTCACTAAGTTTCTTACAGTATCAGCAGATATTTTTGTGATTTTTATAGAACGGGTTTAGCAAAACACCTCAATGGCAAATTTGACAGAATAAAGGAGTACAAAAGAGACTTCAGAGACTTTTGACTGAATGAAAGAAATAAAAAAAAATAATTCTTCATCCATGCTAAATGGTATGGATGGACGAACCTGCAATTGCAGCACTCATATTCTGGCAGCTGGTGGCACCAGCTGTCAATACGCAGAGCACTGCCTTCATCTGCCTGACCAACAATTTTCTGTCTGGCTTGAAGGACGTTGGGTGAGTGGTGCTGACAAGGCCAACAACCGACTAATTTCTCTCATTATATAACCAGCTTAACTTTCAGATGTTCTGCTGATCGGTGGCTGCTTGCTATTTCTTTATCTGACCCACCCTCAAGGGTGTGGGAGGTCTATATCAAGTAGAGATTTTAATTGCTTGTTAAGTAGGGGTACACAGACCAAAGACGTTTACCAGCACTAAGTAAAAGGTGGAAGGCACTGGACAGTACTTATTTCTACAGATCCTAGTGGTCTTGAGTACTAGCGAAGGTTAGAGGTTTGCAAGGGGAAGGGTAATATAGTAGTTGCTTGAATTTAGGTCCCTTTAACCACTGAGATATTTTCGTACGATGTCAACGCATGCAGCATTAAAAAGTGTAATTACTGAGAAGGTAGCTGTAAGATTGTATGATTATTCCACAAAAATTCTGTATGTACAATGCCCTTTTACAGAAAATATGTTTACAGACTTTGCATGTTACAATCTGTTTAGAACTTGTAGATTTATTAATCTGATTAAAAGATGCATTATAATTTAAACTTTTATAAAGCACTGTGAGACGAGCTTCTTAGTCTGGCCAGAAGGTAAACCATAATCAGTCAAATTGGTCTTCCAGTAGATATATCATTAGTATATGTTAATGTTTATTATTTTTCAATACACCATACTGTCTGATAGACATGTAGAGACATCTGGTTCATGTCAATATTTTCATTTTCTTTCTTTTAAATAAAGTGGTGTAAACCCAAATCAAACATTTATTATATTGTAGTTTACCAATTCTTAGATGTAATGGCTGCATTCGTTTTCTTTTTTAGATTTTTCTTCTATTTTCACATGGTGATCTAGCCAATATGTCTGTTTTTCAACAGAACAAGCTGTCCTGCAGATGTAGCAGTTAAAGGGTTGAGACAAATCATTTACATGGACATGTATGCTTACAGTGGTCAACTTTTTTATGTAAAAACTTTTCATCAAAAGTAACAAACTTATACTGCTGTACCTGCTTGAAATGTGTTAGATGGAGTTTGGCTTCATTTGTTAGTGTATTTAAAACTGCTAGTTCATCTAAACCAGGGGTGGGCAACTGTGACCCTCCAGCTGTTGGTGAACTACAAGTCCCATCATGCCTCTGCCTTTGGAAGTCATGCTTATAACTGTCAGTTTTGCAATGCCTCATGGGACTTGTAGTTCTTCAACAGCTGGAGGGCCACAGTTGCCCACCCCTGATCTAAACAATACCCTCCTCCCAGACTGACTATGCTGCTGCCCAAAGGTGCCCCTGCGCTCCTTTATGCAGAGTGGGGCACTCTAATACAGGATGTATGTTACTGGTCAGATCACCAGGTGAAAACGGAGGGCAAAAAGCCTACAAAAATAAAACTAATTCAACCACCACATCTAATGATTGATGAGCTACAATATATGACATTTTTTGTTTTGGGTGTTTGATACCGCTTTAAAGCACAAACCTAAGCAATATAAGCCAAACATGTATTGAAATTCATAAACCAAGGTTACCTTCAGTGGAAACCATAAATCAAACAATAATTAGATCCCATTGAACTTTTCCTGGCTCCTCCCACCTCTTGAGCCTTCCAGACTGTCAGTGAAGTCATATTAGGAATTCACTTGGTGGATTCTGGAGGTGAGAATGGAGAAAACTCCAGATCTGCATATAAATTTAGCTTGTATGCAAATGTCTATGATTCTGTTATTATTTGAATGTTCTGCTTTTTTTATTGTAACATGCTTCACAAATATTATTTTTTGATTTATTAAGGCTGAATGTTACACTGTCAGATTGAAATTCTGGACTTTTGGATGTTTATTCTTTTCCCCAGGAATGGATGAGCTGATGGAAGTATCCTTCTCACCTCTGGCTGCCACTGGCAAACCACTGTCTCGCTGTGGTAAATGTCATCGCTTCATGAAATATATCCAGGTACAAATTAAGGGATTTTGGTGTAAAATAAAGCAGCAGCTCAAGGAAACAAGTAGAATAAATCAGTTAACTGTTCATGTATTGTGGTAAACATGGCATTGTTTGTAGAGGCCTGAAACTCAATATATCTTTTATGTAGATTTATTTACAGGGTGCCTGTGTGTGATAGGGCATGTAAGAGGTGTATTATAGGTTGTAATCAATAATAGTGGAGATGGTCCAGGGGTAGAGCACAGGCATTAAGTAGTGAGGTGAAAGGGAGTGGCATCTTCCTGAAAATTTAGCTGGTGTTCCCAGAACATCAGGATACTAGTTAGGAGTTGATCTTGGGCCCAGTTCAAAAAGGCACTTGCTGGTAAATGAAAAGCAATGTGAACAGTAAACATTTATAAAGCAAATAAGCTTTTTTTTTTTGCATTTGCCTGAAATCTTTGATCAACCTTCGGGTTAGTGACTGCTCTGGAACTATGTGGGTTGTATAGAGGCAGTTTTAGGCCTCGTTCACACCATACATGTTGAAAAACTGCTGGAAATTGACGCGTAGATTTCACAAGCAGAGACATCCGTTTTCATGCACGCTTCAAGATCTTTCAGATTCCTTGCCCTATCCTGCCCTTATTCAGGTGAATGATTTTATCCTTTTGGCTAAAATTCCTGCCCCATTCTGTGTTATTGTTAATCCTTCTGGAACTTGCTAGGTCACTGGCTAGCTAGGGACAGCTGCGTGTTTCTACAGACTCCAGTATCACCTAAGGGCCTTAGAGAGGATGTTTTAGTTTTCATCCTCAGTGGCTTTTGGTTGTCCTTATCTCACCAGTCTGGGGCTAAAATCTAATTTTTATTCTGGCCTACTGCGGCGGCAGTGTCTTCCTAGCACCTTCTTGCCTTGTCACATTGACTTTGTGAGATCAAACCCTTGGGATCTCCAGTAGGCTTGGGGGTCTCTTTAAGCCCTTGGGGCTATTTGGTTGTACCATTCTGTTGTCTGGCCAGGCAACTTTTTGTGGTCAAGGATTTTTTTTTTACCCTTGGCCGTTGTGGTTAGGAATGTAGGCATTGGGCCTTCCTAGATAGACTGTTTGGTCTTTTCTTGCATTTCTCTCTGGTAGTGACCTTCTCCATCTGGGCCTGAAACATAGTACCTTGGTTGTGTTGGCAGATTCAACAGTTTAATATGGGGTCTAACCTAAATTCAGGTGTTGACTCATCAGGTGGCCCTTGGGCTGGCAGTCATCCCTTCTTTTTGTGAGTCCTCTTAGTATATTTTGTAGTATTTCCCATCCCTAACTTGCATTGCTTTTGGAGTCCTGTTTGTATGTGAATTTTAATACCTCAATGACCAAGAAAGAAAATGACATCTTCTGCCTTATCAAAAAAAGAAAAGAAAGTTCCCAGCTCAACTTGCCAGCCAACTTGCTAACAACTGAATTAACCTGTCTAACAGTATGTGTTAAAAACAGAGGTTTAGTTAGCACACATTTGCAAATACATACATAAGCCACAGAGCCACATCATGGCACCCCGATATTCTGTGGTCCTAAATCTACAAATTTTGAGAGCCCCCATAGTAGAGGCATATGTATTTAATGGATAGAGCAAGGGCATGTGAACCTGAGGGAGCCCTCCTTAAAGGTACAGGAGCGCACTGGACACCCAGCATGTAGCACAATGGCAGCTAGAGTGTCCAGTGCACCCACTCACCAACAACTCAACAGTACAAAAAATGGCCACTGCCCCAGTCTATAACTGGCCTTTACAGCAAGGAACACATGGATGGGCAACACATGTCAAAAAAGAAAAGAAAGAAAGGTCCCAGCTTGCTAACAATCTTCTGCCTTACCTTAAAGTGTTACTAAACCCATGACTCTGCATTCACTATATTTGGTCTCCCACAGTACACAGAACATGGAAATGTAGTTATTTTAATAAATTAAAACTGCTAGATAACGTTTCTCATCAGCAGTATATAGCAGTCTTATGACTTCTATCAGTGTCTAGCAGAGCACTGGTTAAAGCTTGTAGGAGGAGTTTTCAGTCATATCTGACTGTTGTATGAGGCTGCATGACCCCTGTCCCTCTGTCTGGCCATACCCCTCCTAAAAAAACTAAAAAAACTCTCTAGTAATACACCGCAAACTGAGCATGTGCAGAGTGCCTCCAAGAGCTCTGTACTATAAGCAGATGGATTGGGGACTGTGGAAGAAAGGGAGGATCAGAGAAGGATCACGACCAAACAGCCTTTTTACACAATGCAGGGGATTAACTCCTTAGGTTCTATAGTGAATATAACAAGCATGCTTTACTGCATATACAGACTGATTTTACTGTTGTGGGTTTAGTAACACTTTTAAATCCAGAGAGACCGATTAACACTGTGCTACCATGGCAAGAGAACAGTTAAGAACACATTTCTGCCAGTGTTAGTTATATTTCTAAATGTCAATGCAAGCAGCACTCTTTCTCCTTTACTAAACCACAGGTTCATTACTTCAAGTCAAAATTACACCAAACTTACAATAGCTAGCTTTTTGAAACTGATAGACTTGTATCTTTTTTAACTCTACTAATTATCTGTATTGCCTTTTTAGGGTCCATTCACACCAGCCAGCTCTTTGTAACGCAGAGGTTGGTGTGCGGTGTGGTCTGGTATCTGTACTGCACAATTCCTTTTTTCCCATTTTTTTAATACAAACCTTATTGAAATGTAACACAGACCTTTCATAAAGTTCAATTAGCCACTGCGAGGTGGGAGGCAGTGCTTTGTGTTACGTTGAAAAAAAGTTCTGCGTGCACGCAGTGGTGTTAATCAGACACAAAGGAATAACTGTCCAGTGCAGTCCCAACGCATGTAGTGTGAATGGAACCTTGATCTTGAGAGATTTGAAGATTTTTGAATATTAGATGTTGATGTATTGTATAAATTTTACTTTAATTTTTTTTTGTGATCACTGACCACAATGTCGATAATGATTTTGTATTCTGCTGCCAGGCTAAGCCCAGTCGTCTGCATTGCTCGCATTGTGATGAGACCTACAGCCTTCCTCAGAATGGGACTATAAAACTTTACAAAGAGTTGCGGTGTCCTCTAGATGACTTTGAGCTTGTGTTGTGGTCTTCAGGTTCACGAGGGAAGAGTTACCCACTGTGCCCTTACTGTTACAATCATACTCCTTTCAGGGACATGAAAAAAGGTTTGTTTTGCCAACTACTTATCAGTATATTCACGGGGTCTTCTCCTTCTGTTTCTTTCTACTTTATTGTCTTTCTGCTAAAAGACAGCTAACCTTAAATACATATGACTGTTTGAAAAGCGTTTAACAGTAGGTATATAAACCATCCTAAACCTACAAAAGCACAGGATTTTTGATATTGTCATTATACTGTATACAGTATGTAGCAAATAATTGTAGAATCTGTTGCCTGTCCTCACCGATTTAAGGTTAACAGTGTGCTGGTGTGATGCCAGCCCTTTTAATGTTGAACTGAGAAAGGGAGATGCAGCACAAGGATACAATTTAGTTGTGCTGCATTGCAATGAACATACTGATAGAAGGAAGGAGCAGAGAGACAGGGAGAAAAGCTCATCACTCTACTGCTTCGCTTTTCACAGTCAAGTCACAGGCTGGGGAAGGGTCAGTAACTTTTTACAAGCTCGTGCTTCTATATTTTTATTGTATTAAAGCGTTACTAAAGGTTTCCTTTTTTTTTTTTTAAATTAAAATAACAAACATGTTATACTTACCAGCTCTTTTCACAGATAGGCTCCGAACCTCCTCTTCTTGGGCACTCTGCTGGCACTCTCCGTTCCTCCTCTTCAGTGTCTGCCTCCATAGCAAGAGCTTGTTATGGGGGCAGATGTGTGGGCTTGCTCCTGAGCTGGGCTGTGTCTGTAAGCACATGCTGCGCTGCTTGGCTCCACCCACCTCTCCCTCATCACTGGATTTGATAGCAGCAGGAGCCAATGGCTCCCGCTGCTGCCATCATATCCAGTGAGAAGAGAGAGAGAGAGCAGTGATGCTGCTCTCAGGCATAGCAATGGCTCAAAATCACATTCAGGTAAGTATTTAGTGGAGGGGGCTGGGGGGAGCTAATATGGAAGGTTTTATACATTAATGCAGACAATGCATTAAGGTAAAAAGCTTTAACCTTTACAACTACTTTAAATATACTCTAGATGCATTCAAAGATTATCCACTAAAGGGAACTCTCAGTGGCTCAGAATAATTATTTAGCTAACAACTGATAATAACATATCAGCCACAAAGGTAGTGCAATGTTTTCAGTTAGTGAGCTTGCTCAAGAATTTGGATTGTAAAGAAAAATAAAGTACAACCACTGAGCAGCGCACTACAAGGCTGTAATGATTTTCCACCTGTACTTACAAAATATCCAAAGGGACAAGGTTTTAAAGTCGCAGATATTGGTAAGATTATTTACATTAAACTAATCATCTTTCCATGTTTTCTAAAAGAAAAAAAAACAAAATATTAAAAGTCTGCACATTCTGTTTAAATTGATACTAAAGACTTTTTATTTTTAGATATCAAACATGTTATACTTTGCACAGAGCAGCCTGATCCTCCTCTTCTTGGGACCCCCGTCAGAGCTCCTGGACCCCTGCCCCCTGCTTGCTCTGGGGGCACTCATGCATGCTCACTCCCAAGCACTAATCTGTGTGTCCATAAGACACAGAATGGGGCTTTGCCCTGCTCCCGCTTCCTCCTCACTGGTTATGATAGACTGCAGCGGGAGCCAGTGGTTCCCACTGCTGTCTCTGAGCCAATGAGGAGGCTGAGAGCTGGGACAGCAGCTACTCTTAGGCACATCACTGGATTGGGCTCGGGCTTGGATAAGTATTGTGGGGCTGTGTGGGGAGCTGCAAACTGAAGGTTTTTTAACCTTCATGCATAGAATGCATGAAAGTAAAAAACTTTCAGGCTTTACAACCACGCTAAGGCTTGCCTAAACAATCATATTACTAGACGAAAAACAATTCTCTGTTCAGCAGAATTCTTGAATGGTTCCTGAATTCTTTTGCATTAAAGGGTGAGTTCATACAAAAGTAATTCTTAGTGTAAAGTTATCAGTTCGTATATGTTTTCAGTAGTCCAGCACTGAAATCTCATCACTAAACCTCCCTACTCTGTGCCTCTCTGCCTGGCAGTTTTGAGCGTTTCCATTCAGATTTGTGTATTGCAGCACATCTGGTTACATTCTTTAAAATATACAATAAATTTGAAATCAAACACGGAGCATGTGCGCAGCCAAGGAACTCAAGTGCAAATATCCCATCTCTTATGCCCCCCAAGAGATAAACTGTCAGGTGGTTTAACTCTCTACCATCTAGCCAAAGGTAAAATATCAGTTTTAGGTGGACTGACCTTTTAAACTGTGGAATTGTTTTAAATAAAATCTATCAGTATAATCAAATCTGTTCGGGACCCTTTGGGAAGATTTCTTTTTACTTCTCAGAGATACAATAGGAATTGAGAAGAAATCTCCCCAAAGTGTGAGAAATTCCCTCTTAAACACTGGTAATCAAAATAGGTGTCCTGACAAGACGAATTCCCCTCACCTTTTGTTACATTGACAAATTTATTATTTTGGATTCTTCATATTTTCTGTTCAGATATTATTGGTCACCGGGACAGATAGAAATGGTAAATCCCACTAGCTGGCACACACAGTAAAAAAAAACCTAATAGGGTTTGCAACCCTTCCCTGCCTAATCCAGAACTAAACAAAAGCTTTGCCTTTAGATATAATTTTTAGATAAATTATTTTGTCTGTGTTTTCTACGTAGTAATACAGTGCAGTATTATAGCATATCCTGTATATGATTTTTATGTTAGCAGTTGTAAAGCTGCTGTTGACCTGCTGCCTGATTTACATACATAGTATGCACTACAGAACTTACTAATTTGTGTATAAAATATATAAATTGCATCAAAATTCTTTTTAGGTAAACTATTTGGACTGAAAATACTGTTTTAATTTTTGACTCAATATTGTTAAATGTACTTTCCTGCCTATTTGACCTTCCAGTTATGTAACTAGTAGTAACCTTTCATTTCTTTCTTTCTCTGTTTAGGAATGGGGTGCAATGAGTGCACCCACCCTACCTGCCAGCATTCCCTAAGTATGCTTGGCATTGCTCAGTGTGTGGAATGTGAGAATGGAGTGATGGTCTTAGACCCCACGTCTGGTCCTAAATGGAAGATGTCCTGTAATAAATGTAATGTCATGGTCCACTTCTTTGAGAATGCTCATCGAGTCCGGGTTTCTGCAGATACTTGTGAGGTGTGCGATGCTGCCCTTGTCCATGTAGACTTTAACAAGGCTAAGAGTCCATTGCCTGGAGATCAGACACAACATACTGGCTGTGTGTTTTGTGACACAGTCTTCCAAGACTTGGTTGAACTCAAACATGCCACTATGAGACACCCAATGCACAGAGGGGGACAAGGAAGAAAACAGGGAAGAGGGAGAGGTAGAGGCCGACGAGGCAATCCTAAAAAACCCAAGGACAAAATGGCTGCTTTAGCAGCATACTTTGTATAACATGATCTTTGGCATGTTTAATAAAAAACTTATCCTAAAAAGTATGTAACTAGAACTTTACTGGGAACTGACAGAAATTTTGGGGTACGGTCTGGTTTAGGTTTTTGTTTAAAGTTTGAAATACTGGCTCAAAATTCTAACTTATGAACTTCAGCATTAAAAAAAATGTTCAATACTGATCAAGCCAAATTTCTAACAAAACATATTGTTTTTAATAGATGAGGAGAGTTTAGAACCTTTATCAGATATTTATTTTTGTGTCCACAATCAGAAACTTCCCATTTCTGCTTCCTGGTCTGTGACATCACCTTAATGGGTAATTTCTCCAATGGTAACATAGACAGCAACAAACACATTTATCATGTTCTAAAATGTCCTCTGTCACAGACCCCCCCTCCCCTGCTCCCTCTCTTCCCCCCCTGGATCCCTGCACCCCCCCTTCCCCATTACATGCCCCTGCGCCCACACGTAGCCCACATAAAGTGGTGTGCTGGGCGCCAGGGAGCTGCCTCCTGCTGTGATTCCCCACACCTCTCCTCGGCTGAGCTCCGAGGAGTCTGCCTCCCCACTGTGCCTGCATATGGATTCCCCACATGCAGGCCACCTGGATGTCACCCCCCCCCCCCTTGTCTTGGTGGGACACAGTGCGGCCCGATGTTCCCGCACTCTGCACCCGCTGGAGACAAAGGCTGCGCTCCGTGCGTGGCCGGAGTGAGGGGGCGGGGCTTGTTGCCACAGCAACCTGACACCAGGGCAGCCGTTGCCTGGCAACCTGGGAGCATCCTGCTCCGGAGATAAAAGACCGGAGCAGGACCCGGGCAGCGTGTATCTTCACCTGCTCACAACCCAGTGTGCTGTGAGAGGTCTTCTGCTGCGGCCAGCCCCTACAGCCAAGTCGGACTTAACCCATTGCCTGCCAGAGCCTGCCTTCTGCTGTGTGCCCCTAGACTTAACCCATTCCCTGCCAGAGCCTGCCTTCTGTGTGCCCTCGGACTTAATACATTGTCTGCCAGAGTCTGCCTTCTGCTGTGTGGCCCCAGACTTAACCCATTGCCTGCCTTCAGCTGTGTGCCCCCAGACTTAACCCATTGCTTGCCAGAGCCTGCCTTCTGCTGTGTGCCTCCAGACTTAACCCATTGTGTGCCAGAGCCTGCCTTCTGCTGTGTGCCCCCAGACTTAACCCATTGCCTGCCAGAGCCTGCCTTCTGCTGTGTGGCACTCAGACTTTACCCTTTGTCTGCAAATCTGCCACCCTGTTGTGTGCCACCCGGACTTCACCCATTGCCTGCCGGTCTGACTCCCTGTTGTGTGCCACCCAGACTTAACCCATTGCCTGCCAGTCTGCCGCTCTGTTGTGTGCTCCTTGTCGTGTGTCCCACCCTGTGCACCCTCCAAATCAATAAAAGCCTTGTGTGCCCCACTGCTCTCTGCGTGTGTTCTGTCCCACCTACACCTACGTCACATACTGGTTGGCAGCAGTGGGATCAGAACGCGGAAGAAGACGATGGAGAGCAATAGCCCCCTGATGCTGGACCTAGCCCAGGTTAGTGAATACAGGAAATGGACTGTGGCGAGTATGCAGGAGAGGGAACTAGGCCTCCCTGGAAGGGGCCTGTCCAAGGAGGTACTGGTTACTGCCATCGAGGAAGCCAGCCCTTGAGGGGCTGATAGCTTGGATGCCCCTGCACCAGAGACAGAACGCCCTGCATCAGACAACCAATGCCCCAGGAGCCCCTGGATCACCTACAGTAGTATGAGGAGGAGATGGCTATCTTGGGCTCCAGGGCCACTTTGGACATCAGGCAGGAGGCTATCTGGAGGGCCCCCATGAGGGAAACCCTCCAAGCATGACTTGTAAAGATTTTAACCCCTTCAGTGAAGCTGCAGGAGATGTGGAAGGATTTTTCCAGGACTTCGAACATTTATGCCAACTGCTGGAGGTACCCCAAACAGACTGAGTGTGGCACATGGTCAGCCTGCTGGAAGGGGGTGCAGCTGCTGCATACCGCACAATGGATGCCCAATGGTATTGAGACTGCATGAGGGTCAAACAGACTGTGCTGGAACACTACGCTGTAACCCCGGAAATCCACTTCGTGACCTTTCTTGTCACGTTGAGCCGTCCTTCAAAATGTATGCACACAAGATGTCGCAGTCCTGCCAGCGCTGGCTGGAAGGGGAACAGGCCCTCACCCTTGAACACGTTATCCAGGCCTTTCTGAAGGAACAGTTCTATACCCAATGCCCTGCAGAGGTGCGATAGTGGGTGAAGGAGAGATACCCTGCCACCCTTGAGCATGCTACTGCACTGGCAGACGAGGTCTTCACCATCAAGCCACATTGGAAAAAACGGGTGACCGAACCACCTAAGGCCCTGGGCCCCGCCCGACCTCCCCACGCCCCCCCCCCTTCCGGCGGCCCATCATGCCAGCCCAGGGGCCCTCACCAATACCTTTCTACCACCCCTGACCATCGGGCCACCCCTGAACCGTCGGTGTTATGGGTGCAACCAGACTGGGCACCTCCAGGCTAGCTGTCCCAGGAACCACCACCTCACCAGCCTGGTCAACTACATCGAACTACCACCGAAGGAGGAGCCGCTTCCCATACAAATGGGTGACCTCCACAAAGGCTAGTACACCCCATGGTGTCTACAGTGTTCACCCACTTGTCCCTTCCTACCCTGAGCAGAGACAGCGCCACGTGCAAGCAGTCCTGATTGATGGGCAAAGTACCATGGGATTCCGAGACACCGTGGCATTCCTCACCATCGCTGATCCCTGTGTGGTGAAACCGGAAGCTATCGAACCAGGCCCTGGGTTCTCCATCGAACTAGTAGGTGGCACCAGACAGCACATTCCAAGGGCTTCAGTACATTTTGGCTATGGATTTGGGGAAAGGCACTGCCAGATTGGAGTTATGAGTGAGCATCCCGCAAATGTCCTGCTTGGAAATGATTTAGGGGAGCTGCGATGCCAGTACATCGGGGCTGTGACCAGGAGCCAAGCCAGTCGAGGTCCGCCATCTTCTCTTTGCATATTGGATTCTCTCCCTTTGATCTCCTATACGGGGGAAAAGTCTGAGGCTCTCTTTACTTTACTGCGGGAACACTGGGAAGGGAAGGTTGAAGATACTCGCACTCCAGTCGTATCTTATGTAATGGAACTGCGAGAGCAGCTAACTCGACTTGCTGCTGTAGCCCACAGCCACCTCAAAGCGGCTCAGACATGACAGAAGGTGTGGTACGACCGCAGGGTCCGAGGTCGGGAGTTCACCAAGGGCCAACAAGTTCTCTGGATAATAAAGGCAAAAGAAAATTGTGCGCTGCCAAATAATGAAAATAATAATAGATGAGTTGCTGCAAACACGTGTTATGTGTGTGAGCATAAAAAACAGACTAAAACAAATGAAAGTGTCACGCTGCTAGCATAAATCAATACATGTAAATATACGAGCAAAAAAGTGACTGCTAGTCCCAAAAAGATGATGAAACAAAAAATAAATGCAATTTTTAAAAAAAATCCAAATAAGTGACAAATCTTCCTGCTGGTGATTGCACCCAAAATCCCAGTTCTGTAAATCTTCAATATATGTGAATCACCACAGTGAACATAGACTTTCAGGTGGACTCTCACCTTCTCGCATGGACCTGTATGTGGACACAGGTCAAACAAAGCATCTCCCCTATTAGTGGGGGTAACACATAACTTGCTCCTCTGTGCACTCTTCCCCTTATGATTCAGCACTGGACCTTCACAAATGGCACCCGATTTCAGTACAGCCAACTCCGTGGATAAAGCTCGACAACCACAAAGTAGACCATAGTGCAGTAGGCTTCTTTAAAAGGCATATATTTATTAAAGCATATGAACTCACATGATAATAGTGTTAAAAAAGCATGAAACAGCGGTCAGAATCAAACAATGGAGAGCAAGACGCTGCCTGTCGCAACGATATAGGAGCGCTGACGTCACCTGACTTCTCACGCGTATCGTCACAACGTGACTTCCATGGAGGTAGTCGCACCCTATTTGTGTCTATTGAACCATTGAAATCTTTGTGGCACCGGTTTTGAAAAAAGGTTCTTGCACTATTTTTGGATGTTTCATGTGCAACTTGCATAGACATCTGTGCATGAAGCAGCACAAATATCAGGCAAGCCGCACATGAAATCGCACTGACCAGTGGATTTGAAATTGCGCTGCTTCAAATGAAGTAGCGCAATTTCATAGCTGCATTCAGTGTGAACCATGGCTTAGGTCATCATAGCTCACAATATGTGATGTAGGGGCTGGCAAAAAAGAAAATACAATGCGGAGCGGGGAACCAAGCATCTGACATATCCACATGTGTGCTGGATGCTGAAGTTTCTTCAGTCTTGAATCTTGAATACAGAGAATGGCGATGCAGGCAGTGAATCAGGTATGTGTTAAGATTCTTTTCCACACTGCTTTTTATTTTTCATAGGCACCTGAGTCACTTTAAAGCATACTGAATTCCTGTAGAGCAGGACAGAGATACTGTTACAGAAAAACCCACTGAGAGCGAGAAAACTGTAGAACATAGGATGAAGTGTAGCTAAGGACAAAAATAGAATATTCTTTCTCATCCATTGAGGGACACAGGAAATCTTAAACCTTCGGTTATATTGCCACCTGCAGGAGGATTGGACACTGGCAAAAAAAAGCCCTGTAGGCCAGCCCAGAATAGCCCCTACTGCTACTAACATGCCTCAGTGTTTTGCTGGTATCCTAGGAGGATGGATGTCTTTTTCCAGTTCTGCTTTTAAGAGACATACTTTTTGCATTTTTCTTCAGTCGAGACTCTTCTCTACATCACCAATAGAACTAGTCTGTTCAACTGCAGCTATCTGGCTCAGCCATCCTTACTCTGGAATTTGGAGTGCACATTTGGACAGCACTAGACCAGACGTTGCAAAACTAGCCTGGAAGGGACCTTTGAGCAGTGTGTTCCACATAAGGTTAGGTTCACACTTGTGT